CAGCCGAGTTTTATTGTAAACGTACATTTTCATTGAATGTATGGTTATAAACTTTGGCTCGAAAATAAAAAATAAATAAATTATTATGATCGACACACACTAATTTTTTATCGAGTTGTAAATATTTTGGAATCGTCAAAATGATTCATTCTGTGAAAAAATGAATTGGTAATATTTTTTTTGAAACGTAAAATTTTGAAATTTGTTAGTAACTAACACAATTCAAGAGTTTTGACATTATATAACAGGTTGATAGTCCAAGTAGCCGTTTGCTCATGAAGCAGAAAGTGGTTTCCTCAATGTTGACTGTATTCCTTTGCTCGCGCTCAGATCAATTGTGTCGACTATTTCGGCTAAAGTGAGTGGATTCCAACTTGAGGTCTGTTTTGCAGGCGCTGAACTCTTTCGCAGCGGTTTCAAGTGTTCCTTTTTGAACCTCTCATCTGAAATAAAATTTTCAGAAAAATTAGAAAAAGTATTTATCTTAAAAAACATTTACTTGAGCAGGAGCATTTTTAACAGCGCAATCTTGACTTGTTCTTTAATCATGGTTTAGTTTTCGACAACGTATTTTGGGTGAAAACATTACGAGGCCAAACTGTGCTTTTTGTGAATTGTAAACGGATTCCGCCATAGTCAAAACAGAAGTGTTGCAAAATCCGCAAAAACACTACTTTTCTTTGATCTTCTTTGCTGTTTCGGAATCCAAAGACAAATAACTAAAACCTTTTTTTCTCAAAATTGCTCAAAAAACAGGCTATTTAGCGGAATCCACAACAGAGTTTGTGCAATCCGCAAAGAACTTTGCGGAATCCGGAAGAGTTTGTGGAATCCATAAACAATTATTAGCATATGTGTATAGTCAATTTAGGCTGTCGTGGAATACAAATACATTTGCGCAATCCGGAACAACTACTTAAATTCGCTCGCTGTGGAATCCGCAACAAAACTATTTTGCCCACAAAATTTACGTTACAGGTAATTGTACGCTGAATCCACGGAATTTTTGTAGGTGGAATCATCTTACATTTTGGAATATTTTGTCTCCAGAAACATACCGACAGAAATATGGACACCTATCCAGTGCACCTTTTGGCCTCGTAATGAAGCGATTTAGTACAGCTTTGTTTATTGATCGGAAATGTCGTAGATTCCCAGGTCATCGCAAATTGGAAGTTAACTTAATAAATAGAAACACTCAAAGCTTCAACCTTGACCCCAATGGCCAGTGGTACGCGTGAATTTATCCCCCTAGCCGTGTTGTTAGTTCGTAGAACAATTCATTAACAAAAGTTATGAAAAATGATAATAATCATGCAGGTTCCATTTATACAAAATCTTCGAATATCAATTAATTTGATTGTCTGTTCTGTTGCGGCGAGGTTTTTCGCACATGGCTAAGTTCATGCCTGATTTTGTGTGAACAAGCTATTTATAACACTTTGCTCTAGAAAATGTAACTCATTTTTTCTGTTATTTCTGCTGTTTATAGTTTTTTTGAACAAGAATATTCACTTAAATGTATTTAGTTTTTCCGTGTTCGGATAGGTTTCAGTTGGAGACATAAAATTTTTGAAAATTTCAAGACTGATCAAATGAGAGCGAAATTCAAAAAATTCCGGCTTCCACTAAGACATCTTGAAAAAAAAATTCAGACCTAAAGATTAAAAAAAAAACATTAAAAATTCAGTTGTTGAAAAATAGCCCCTAGTGCAGAGTCTAGTAGAATGTTTCATAAAAGTACCGCATTTTTTGGCCCAATTATCTTACCACAAAACTATGTGGAACAAATTCTGAGCCGGATGTTTTCTACGCGATGAAAACTGACAAGTTGCAAACTTTGATTATCTCAGATCGGAAAAAATTGACGGTTTTTTCATAGTATGATCACAGGCAGGTTAAACATCTTTTTTTAAAAATTTTATGCTGAGTGCGTCAATATATTTCAGACAAAAACATTGTCAAAAACTGTAAGTTCAAAATCGAAGAAAAAGAGCAACCCGAGTACAAATTTTCGTCCCCGTTGAAGGTCAGAGCAAAGCCGAACGATAACATTAACATGAATGCTGAAACAGTTGGGTATACAACTCATTTCAAACTGTTTCAGAATTATTCATTTTTTTATCACTTAAACGAGTTGTCCAGATCTCAGCATTTTATCTTACAGCTCGGATTTTCGAAAAAGGAACAGAAATGGTAAGTTTGCCATTGCATTTCTACAGAAATTTTTTGAAATTTTAAATCAGCAATTTTGACAAATTTTTCGATACCGTTTAAAAGTATTGCTACCCTGAACTCAAATAAAAAAATGCATTTTTGCCGGTGTAATGTAAGGCATTTTGAGAATTGTAGTGTAGTGGAGCGCAGTTTATGGAGGTTCTTATAATGCAAGGTATAAATATTGTAAAAATAAAATGGAGTGATCACTTTTTGTAGTATATTGGTGGTTTTGAAAATTACTTAAACGGCCAATTTTGAACAATTTAGGCTCGATGTGCTGAGTTCTTAAAACTTTCTTAAGAGGCCGGCGAAATGATGCAAACTGAACTGAGGCTACTAAATTGGTTTTATTGACAAGATACAAGAGGTTAAACAAATCTTTTTATTTTTTATGAAAAAGGAAGAATAAAAGAACGACAAAATTGAAAAATAATTCATTTCATACTTTTTCTTATTCATTTTTTTCTTCAATTTTTTTCCTCTTTGTTTTTCATTTCAAACTCCAAATCAGTTTTTGAAAGCAAAAATAATTTCCATCTTGAAGTTTTAGTCGAAGTTTACCGGATTAACAAGATTAACAAGTTATATGGAATTGCCAAGTCTTCAATTTGAAATTACCTGGCACTAGACTGTTGCTAAGTGATTGTACCATCAAATAACTCACAAGAAATTTCGTGTCTTCAGCGAATCTGTCCTGCAGATATCTGTAGTGTGAACTTGCTTAATTTTTTGTGCTATCCGGAGTGTCGTATATTCTATAATTTGTATCAACAGCAGATTTCAATCAGAAAGTTTAATTCATTCAACTCATCAGTTTTTTGAAATTTTTTCAGTGTCTTCAGGTGGTTGGGTAGCGTTCTGGCGTAGGGTGGTTATTTAACTGTATTTACAGAAAGAAGAAGAGAAAGAGAAAGAGAGAGAGCGAGAGAGAGAGAGTGAGAAACATCAAGAAAACTACGCAGCTGATAATTTTGTTTATTGTCAAAAAAATTTCCCTTAATTTCTGACGATTGGGTCACAAATTCATTTCAGAGTGGTGGTCTCACTTTTGAAAAAAAACAAGATTAAACCGTCGGGATAAGAAATTAGACTAAAAAAAGAAACAGGATCCAAAATGTGGAAAAAGAAAAGTTTTCTTTCTGATTTTCTTAAAACCTTTCAATAAGGTATAGTTTAAAAGCAAATGAAAGCCAATGACTCAATACATTTTTAATAACAAGCCCAGGCATATTGATTTCTTTCTAAAAAAAATTTTCAACCTTAACAAAAAAAATTTTTGAGCAAAATATTTAGGCTTAGAACAATATAGAGTAGTTGTACAGCATAAGGACGCTTCGACCCACGTTAAATTTTAAAAACAATAAAGATAAAAATAACATGTGTTTTTATGCGCGGAGTGGATCGAGGAACTAAGCTAGGCTTTGGTCAATATCAGAAAACAATATCATTAGCTCTAAGTGACAACCGTTTTTTTTTTTAGAAAAAAAAGTCGAAAAAAAATTGAAGGATTTTATTTTTCATTTACCAGGAAAGCGCTGCATGAAGCTTCGAAAATTTGAAATTTGTTGTTTTTTGATAAAACTTAGTTTTTTAAGTTATGCACTGCTTCATCGAACAAGCGTATATACTTGCTCTACGTATTTTAAATTAGACTAAGATGTAAGCATTTCAAACTGTATATTTTGATAATGGCAAAACTTTTAAATATTGTTCAAAAAACGACTGAAAAGTGTTTTATATAATGTACCACTAGAAACTTTTTGAAGATTTTTTGTGGAAATAATTAAAACACATCCAAAGACAAAGTTCTTACTTTTTCAGTGGGCGGAACGATAGTAAAATTTCAAGCTCATCAGATTTTTAGCAAAAACTTTCAACACAACATAATAATGCCATTCAGTTTTTAAATTGATGGGACTTAGTTGACGATTACGTCTCAAATTGCATAATTCCCAGATGCCAAAAAAAATCCCACACGGCATTAAATCCATGCAAAATGCATTGAAACATTTTTTTCGAGAGAACTTTGTTTGATAAAAAAGGTATGAAAAGAAGTAAATTATCAGTTCAATTGTTAATTGATTTTTTATCTTGAAAAAGGTTAAGAATCTTCTGAAAAGCACAAGTTTGATTTTAATTTTTGATTTCCAGCAAACATTTCAATCGAATTCCAAATCTGGTTCATATGTTACCGTTCCTGATAAAAAAGAGAAATATTAGTTAATAGAAAGTCTTTGAGTTTCGATGAAAAATGGAAATTTATGCCATACGGTAAAAATTTTCTTTTTACGCCATCTCGGATTTACGCCTTTTGCGAAGTTACCAATTAATTGTTCAAAAGGACGTTTTTTTATCCTTTCGTTTCAACTATCTCTCTTAACGGTCAAATAGGGTTTTGAACTAATTTTGCCAAACAAAGTCCAAATATTGTCTTTTTGCAAGGAAATACGCATAAGTTACTCTCAAGTACGTTTGGCATTGTGTGTAACTGAAATTTCAGAAAATCGTTCAGAATTAAGAAGCCTCAGGACAAAAAGCTTCCTATCATATAACCTTCCAGATAAAAAAAAATGCATATCAAATATTAAAAGAATTCATCTGATACCTTGAATATCAGGTTATAAAAAGCCTTTTGTACTGATTACGCATCCTCGAAGATTGTGTTTGCTTCGCTTCATGAAAGGAAGTGGCGATTTAATGTGCTTATTGAATTTTTCGCTTCTTGTTCAACAAATATTAGGGAATTTGTGAAACCTTTTAAAGCGTATTCTTAGACCTCAAATTGATGAGAAGACGTAGCGGTCATTTTTTATAAGTTTTTAATGCTTATAACGTCAGGAAAATTTGAAACAATTAAAGTTCCGAGCGGAAACTTTTTCAGGGGCAATTTTTGTTTGAAATATAAAAGGTCCTAAAAGGTAGTATGTTAGTTTGTATATTAAAAGCGACGCAATTTATAAATTGTAACCATTGTCGATACTAAAATTAGTCTCTTTTTATCTCGGTGCTAAAAATAATCTCTACTTCAGGATTGTGTAAAACAAATCGCTTACAACTTAAGATGACATGTCTTTCCGCGGTCTCTTTATTTATCCCCCGCCCCACTTTGGTACCAAATGACAAACTTGAACATCTTTAATGAACTCATTCAGATTAAGCATAAATGCAGTTTATACTTAGTAACGTATCAGCAACCAAGACCGACACCGCCCCCCCCCCCGTTTTTACAAAGGGGATAATTGAAGACATCCTCTTTCTTCCATGTGAATTGCCTTTTTGAGAATGTTTTTCGGACAAAAGTCAGATGTAATTTTCAGGAGATTTTAATACTCAGTTTTCTCGTTTTTTTGTAGAGATCGGTTTAGATGATCAATCATTTTTTCGTTTCGCAAATCTTTCAAAAAAACTTTTTTTAAACGTTTTTACTGAAATTTTTTCAATTTCAATCATTTCTCTACATACAGTACCAATATGTGCTACTTAAACAGCTACCAGATATCTTTGTTGTACAGATTTGAAGTTTGTTTTCGCGAGCAATTTTCAACCATTTGAAAGATAGCGAGGAACTTTGAATTCAGGTGTGCTTTAGTTTTTTTTGGTTTACACTCAAAATCAGGTACCACAAAAAATCTTGGGAATAAATTGAACCATTGGACCCTTTTAGCTGCCATTGGAACGACATTAAAAATTTTCCTAGTGTCGAGAAAAACCGGTTTGAATTTTTTTTTATTTTTGTTGTAATTTCGAGCTAATAAGGTGAGAGACCAGGCTTATTACAATAGCTTATCTATGCTTTATTTAGGCCGTAAGAATTTATTTTCACTCGAGTTTCTTAGCGGCTTCTTGGGAATCAAAAACTTCAAACAAATCAAAAAAAATTGCAAAAAAAGTTTTGAAGTTTTTATAAAAACTTTTTTCTAGTCATTTGTCAATCAAAATTGTTTTCTAATTAGCCTAGCTTACTATGACTGATTAATATCTCTAAGTTATGGTTTTTCGTTCAGATCTTTTTATCACAAAACGCAGAAAAAAAAACGACATTCTGCTCTACTATGGTCGGAACAGAAAGCGCTTATTTCTTTTCTTTATTTTCATTTCGTTAATTTCTTATCAAAAAAAACTGAAATAAGTAGTTAGTGAAATCATAATAGCTATGAGTAACCTTTCATGAGTCCTTCCACCTGTTGGTGTTTGGCAGAGAACAGTCTCGCACTGGCAATGGCTGAGTGGTCTACTCTGGACACCAGGGGCTGAGGGGGAGTTAGTTTGTTCTTGGTGCTGGCTGCCTTGTGTTTCGCTGCGAAGGTGGGCCGAGAGCTCAACTGGCGCTCAGTCGCAAACACTAGATTGCTGAAAATTTATCACGTGATCAGTAATTGGCAAAATCACGCGATCTTGCATGTGATCAGTAATTGGCAAATTTGTTCAAAAGTTCATTTTTTTGTCATCATTTTTAAGTTGACGGTGAGCTATTTTATTGAGTTCCTCACGGAATGAACCTAATTATTAAAAACGAGAAACAATTAAGATATGAGAGTTGAAAAAAAATTGTCGTAAAAATTGAAAGTTATCCCAACAGGCGTGTTTGAAAGCAGGAATTATCAAGTGCATGATTTTTTTCAAAGCAGCATTACTTGAACAACTGAGCATTTATGCACATAAAGAAGTAAGAACCTGAAGGTTTAAAGTAACCATGGTAAAAAGTTGTTGCTCCACTTGATTTCAAATACCTCAAAATTCTCTTATTTCGTTCAGTCGATTATATCAGGTCTGCTCTGAATTTCAAATCTTATTTCTTACTAGTCTTCAATCAAAAGTTTTTGAACAGCTGCATGCTGGAAAAATAGTAATTGATAAATCTCGTTTTTGAGTAACAGCTTCATTTGGAAAAATTTTCTGTCAAGAAGGGTATAATGAGTCCATTTTTTAGTCAATTTTTTCGTATTTTCTACCAAACAACCATTAGGACCATTTCGACTGCAAAAATATTCCCAATTTTGCTGCAGGTTATTTCTAATTTGATTTAATTTATTTAAATATATTTTATGAACTGTGGAAACATTGTGTGTCTTTTTCAACTGTCAACCTTATTTTTAATTATGGGAACAAAACATTGAAATAAACTGTATGAAAAAAAAACAATACGAAGTTGTGTTGAAAAAAATTAAGATCTCACGTGAAGTCATTGTGTGTCTTCGGCCGATGACTCATGAACCCTTTCTCATTCCCATGTTTGCTCCTCTCTTCTTTATTCTGGAGAAAATTGTACTCTTCAGAATGTGTGAAAGTTCTACTGCGGACATTGTATAGGTAAATAGGATCTGGTTTTTCCCAACTGTGATAACTACTCAACATTGTCTCAATTGTTTGAAGTGCTCCAGAATTTAATCAACTTCAATTAAAAATTTAAAAAATAATCAAAAAATTAGATGTGAATTTTTAGCATTTTTGAATTAAAAATTTATCTGTTCTACTGGTTGGTTTGCTTCAAGTTCTGTATATGCTTTTTTTGAAGAACCGTAATTGAGATTTTAATCTCTATCATTTGCATTTTGGAAAAAGAGAAAAAATGTGTTTTTTCTTGTTGTTTGGTTCCTTTGTTTGTTTTTATTAAATATTGATTTAAACCCCTTTGTCTGTGTTGCAATCCGCTAGTTTTTACGACATGGCACAACATTTCTTTTTTTTCCAATTCCATTAAATATAAGGGAGGTCTTTACGGTTTAAGCTTTGCTATTGCTTGTAGCGGTCATTTGAAAAGGAAAAAAATGATCATTTTGAGATATGTCTTTGAACTCTTATGATAATACAGGCATTTTATCAAAATTCTTGAAAAATGTTATCACCTGTGATACCTAGTAAAGAATTTTCAAACCCCCCCCCCCACACACACCCACACACACTGACAAATTAAGGTTACGGTTTCAGCATTTTTAACTGTCTTGGAAAAAACTATTATATTGTCTTAAAAATCGGTTTAAGTTGATTCAAATTTTAACGTAGGAGTACAGTGCTGATTTAAAATATCCGGACAAAATGAACAAAATTTGAGTTTTCAAACGCGTTTTTTTCAAATTGGGTTAAGATTAGACAAAAAGTGAAGAGAACAAAAGTTGCTTAGTATTTCCTCAGAATTAATATGGTGTAATTTGTTCTACGAAATTCGTAACCAAATTTTTACCCCAAAAATGGGTCATTTTGGCTTTTTTCAATTAATCAAGAATTAGGCTAAAAATACTTAGTTAATTGATGTGATATGCGTTGCGATATCAAATTGAAAACAAGTTGGAATTCAATACTTTATTTAGAAGATTGAATTTAGATTTTCTCTTTTCTTTGTTTTCTTATGTACTGAGAGATAGATCGTTGTTAAGTACTCTGATCTCTCACTTAGTCTCAGTGTCATCACTTATGTATGACCTTGAGCGTACCATAAAATAATGATTTAACACCAGAGGTTGGCTGTACAACCGTATAGTGAGTACTGCTACTGCAGTAGCGGTATGACACACCCCCCTCGGTGAAAGAAATAAATTATACAACATCAGTAGGATAATTTATTTAAAAGAGTTTTAATTTACTCAGTTCGGAAGGAAGTTCTTAAGATGAATGACAGTTTTTGGACTATGTAGATTTCAGTTTTCCTCTAGCTCAATTTCCCAACTCGGGTTCCAATCTACTCCTTCATCTAAAGTGGCATATCCGAATTTTCGCATAAATAAATGTCTTTCGAGTCGCCGCACTTTTGATTCCAAAGGTCTGTCTTCCCGATCTTTGAACTCTCTCAGCTGGTTTCTGTATTCTTTAAGTGCCTCCTTCAAAAGACTTCTGCCTGTAAGATTTTCGGATATTTCTTTGATTGAATGTTTTATCGGATCTCCGAAACGTTTGGGTTCTTTATTTTTTGTTTGTCTTGAACTCCTTCGAACACCTGACTCTTCCGCACTTGATTCGTCCGAGAATCCTTGTGGTGGTTCGAAATTCGTATCCAATTCTGAGCCTTTTTGAGGATTTTCTCTAAGTTCATCCGCAACTCGCTGCACTCCTCTTTTTAACAATTGGTCCGCGTACTTTTCCCAGTCAGATGGTGCCAAATTTCTATTGTGAAAAGTCTCTACTATATCTTCAAGAGGGGTGTGCGCGTCAATGCCCTTCAGTTTCGGACGCTGTTTGGTTTTCGGCGTGGAACTCGACTGGATTTTGGTATCTACTGTGACCGAATCCGGCTTAGATATTGCTTGCTCTTGTTCCGAGTTGACTGCAGTCACAGTTTGGTTTGTGTTTGTCCCCTGTTGTTGTTTGCTTCGGCCTTTCTTCTCTTTTCCGCTTTTTTCCGGCTTGTTCGTGATTATTTCCTCTGATGATTTTGGTCCCGCCAAGTTTGGTTTTGCTCTTTTTATAGCAAGATTCAATCCTCCCCCGGCTTCCGTGTCCTTAGAAGTGACGATTGTTTGGCTCTTCTGAAAGCGCTCTATTGGGTCCATTTCATTTGCGATTTCCATTTCTCTTTGGAGTTCGTCCTCCGATTCCAACTCCTCTAGTAGTTCTGGAGAACTGACTCGTTTGAACTTTTTTGTAGGTTCCGACGATGGACTTTTACTTGTGCTTCTCTGTTTTTCTTGTGTAAGTACGGTTTTTGATTGAGCTATGTCCGATTTTCTATAGATAGAACCGGCCGATGTCTTAATTGTTGATTCCGTTTCTGAAGCTATTTTCCCCTTTAGTGGTCTGGTTAGGGCTTGTCCGCTTTTCCTGAGGGGGTCCTTTCTAAGTATTGTCTTGGGTGGTGACTTGCATTGGTTTTCTACTTTATCTTCCACAAATCCTTTTTCCCAAGAGTAAATCATTTCTTTTCGAAGGTCGGGATTGAGTTGACCTGTCTCGTCCACTAATTTCCTGATGTCATTTTTAGCTGCGTCCCTTCTTTCGTAGTTCCAACGGGCGTTTGCCTCCAACAATTCCTTTAGGGCTTTGGCTCTTTCTTTGTCTCTGTCCGATGTTAGCTGCTGCTTGTGCAGTGGGCTTGTATCCCTGCTCAGTTGTCCCTTGCGCACTATCTTGAGATTCTCTCTTGACTGGTCAATCCTCCTTTTCATTTGAGACGCAGTCAGTGCTGAGCGTTCCAAGTGTTGTTTGTCTAAAGAATCAGAATTATTTAAAAACCTATCCCTCACAATTTTAAATTCTGTTTTTGGTAGTCTGCCGAAATGTGCTTGGAACGGGGATACTTGAATTGTTTTCTGCTTGTTCCATCGTAAATCTCGCATTATAATACTGAGACATAATTTGATTGATTTATTATTTTCATCGAGCATCATCACTCCCAGTCTTCTCTTTATTGTTTGAATTGTACGTTCAACCAACCCACAACCTCTGTGATCCCCCACCGGACAGAATTTTTGCTCGATATTGAGTTCCGAACAAAATTTTTTTAGAGTTTTTCCCTTAAAGCCTGAAATTGATCCGAACGAATTGATTCAGGGACTCCATGAGTGTCGATATATGATCTCAAGAATTTTACTGTGCTTTTTCCGCTTGTGGATTTTGTAACCTTCACAGATGGAAATTTTGAGAATCGATCAATAGCTACTAAAAGATAGATTTTTTTTCCTTTTTGATTTTCTATAGGCCCCGCATAGTCTAGTTGTACCTCCTGTCCCGGCTGCGTGAGCAGTGGTAGTGGTTTTGACGAATTTTTCGAAATAAGGTATTTTACATTCTTACCATATCTGGTACAACTACGGCACTCCTCTGCCAAATTCACGATGTCCTTATTCATGTGTGGCCACCACAGATATTGCGCTGCTCCCAACATCGCTTCCTGTCCTGGGTGTCCCCGATGTATTCGTTTCAGGACAGCTTGTCGTAGTTGAACTGGTACTGCTAGCCGATTATTCACCAAGATGCAGTCGTCCTGAACTGCCATCTGCGACCACAACGGATTTGTATAGGGTCCCATCAGTTCGAATCCTTGTTTGTCCCCTCTCTCTATCACTCTCCTGAGGCGGTCCATCCACGTGTCTTCTGTGGTCAGTTCTGCTAGTAAGTTTTTGTCGAACAGTTTTGCGAGGTTGTCCAGAGTCTCTACTTGTTGCTGCTTCTGCAGCCTTAACTTTCCTAGATTCTTTGGCGGTTGGATTGAGCACACTTCCTCCTCACTCTCCGCCTCTTCTGTGGTTGTTAGGTCGACTTCTATTACGTTCACCTCACTGAGTTTTCGATCTGTCGATGCGATCGGTTTTGACGATATTGGATTGAATTCGTCTTCCAGATTTTCTCTGACTTCTTGAGTATCGGCCACCAGTTCTCGATTTTCCTGAACATTGTTTTCTCCGCCTATTAATTGCCAGAAAGAGAGCAGTCTTTGGTCCGCTATTCGTTGTTTCTCCGGTTCCAGCGACCATTTTACTCGTTGTTGTTGACGTGTTTCGCTGTCTGAGCTGTCCCTATTTTTTCTTCCTCCTCGTATAATCTTTCTTGTACGTTGTACTGTCTCTGTGATTTCCTCTTCTCCCGAGAGTTCGTTGTTGGTGGAAAATGATCGGTTCCACTTTGGGTCCATTAAGCTTTCTTCACGCTCCTCATTCCGCCAATCTTGTGGTGAGCTGGACCACCAGTCGTATGTTTTGTTTGTATTTTCTGACATCTCGATTCTTGAGTCTGTTTTTTCTATTTTTTCCGGTACTGGTCGTTTTTTTATTTTGCAATTTTTTGAGACTGACTGTTTGCTGAGTTGATTTGACGAAAAAGTGATTTGTTTCTGTTGAACTGTTGTGTTTAGCTGTTTTTGCAGTCGTGGAAACTTTTTTCTCTCGTTCCGGTCGAGCTTTGTTCGATTTTGACCGTTTTGGTTGCTATAGCAACCATTACTTGATGACTGTTTCCTAACATTCCTTCTAGAACATTCTAGAACGTTTTCGTTCCGGTTGAGCGAACTTGAATCTTTAAGCCTACTGTTCCAGCAGTCGAACGCTTCATGAAAGGAGTTTATCGTAGCTACTACAAACTTGTCGTCTAATTCTGATTCGGGCCAGGGATCATTGAAAGGATCACGCGATAAATAATCAACTATGCCCATGTCCCTCCCCGGAATGTGAACTATGTTGAACTGATATGGCAGTAACCCGTCAACCCACCGGGTTGTTAAGCGTGACTGATAGGTCTTGTTTGATTGATTAACATCCAATGCTGTTGTAAGAGCTTTATGGTCAGTTGCGATGGTAAATGGTTTCCCCAGAAGATAGTGTTTATATCTGTCTACTGCCCAAACAACTGCCAATAGTTCCAGCTCATTTGTTGAATATTTTTTTTCTTGAGCATTTAGGTATCGAGATGCGAACGAAATTGGGACCCACAACCCTTCATCATTTTGTTGTTCTAAAGTGGACCCTAGTCCATCATGGCTAGCATCGCACTTAACTCGTGTTTGTCGATTTGCATCATAATAATGCACTTTCGTAATATTTGCCACAGCTCCTTTTATAGCATTAAATGCTTCTGTGTGAACATCCCCCCACTCGAATTTTTTCACCGGGAGTTTCATGTTTTTTAACTTTTTCTTTTGATTTTCTTCTTTAAGAAGAGGTCTTAATTTTTCTGTCAGACTTGCTACGTTAGGTATAAATTTAGCTAGATGATTTATGCTTCCTAGAAATGACCTTAGTTGTTTTAGGGATTTCGGCGGGTTTAAGTTTACTACCGCTTCCGTTTTAGTGATCTTCGGTCTAACTCCTTCTTCTGAGAGATGATGACCCAACCAATTCACTTCTTGTTTAAAAAATTCACATTTTGATAGTTTCAGTGCCAAATTTTCCGCATCCAATTTCTTTAATACTGCTTCTACTAGGTTGGCATGTTCTGTTTCACTTCCCTTTGACACAATAAGTATGTCATCCAGGAAACAGAATGTGTTTTTAGCATGATTGATGGTTCTATCCATAGCCTTTTGAAATTCAGCTGGCATATCTGCTAGTCCGTAGAATCCTGTCAAGAATCTGTAAGTTCCGGTTGCTTTTCCGCCCACAATGTTAAAATTACATTGCCTAGCTGTATCCGCAGCCAATTTTAGTTGACTGTACGCATATTTCAAATCTAACACCGAAAAATATAGCGTACCCTTTTTGTTTTCGGTTACAATCTGGCTTACCCCATCAATAAGTTCGTCTACATTCGGCATTTGGTATTTGTTTTTAAACAATTGTCTATTGATTGGTTTCGCGTCCATTGCCAATTTTATTGAGTCGTCCTTTTTTACTGTTATCACAATCGGGGCGATAAAGCAATCACTTGTACACTTATCAAGTTTTGTTATATGACCTTCTGTCAATAACTTCTCGATTTCTTTTTCGACTTTATCTTGTATATGAATTGGGATTCTTCTCCCCTTTTCTTGTATCGGACATAGTGGGTATTTGAATTTTGAACTGGCGATGTGGTTTTTAGAAATGCCTTGCCTTTCAAATAAGTTCTTAAATTTATTGAAAAATTTTTCTTTCCAACCTTCCGACTGCTCGCACATGAGCACGTCAAACCTGGTGAGTTCTTTTGGCGCTGTTCTTTGTGTAGTCACTATTCCCACTTGTCCTTGCAAGTCTAATCCCATGATGCATCTAGTTTTTCGCTCCGATACCAGAAAGGTTGCGCCCTTAACTTCCCAGCCCGCTGACCTCAGATTGGTTTTTAGGGCTCCCAGGATACTGATCGGTTGTTTGTTGTAGTCCACAAATTTGGTTTGTAAGTTCAATTTGTCGGACGGTATGAATCTCACTTTGTTTGATTTTTCCATGATTTCTTTCGTCGTTGCCCAGTTAAGAAATGAAACAGGACTACCAGTATCCACTGTTAGTTGAATAATCTGGCTATCTATTCGTACCATAGCCTTTAGTGACTTTACGCGGTTCAAGGTTGGATCTCGAATAGAGTCTATTTTCTGAACTCTAACCACTTTTCCGTTTGTTTCTTTTCTCATTTCATTGATTCGATCTTTCACATATTTTGAAACTCGTTCATTTTCCGGTAAATGGGTATGTATCAACATGACTTCAAATTCACTACATGACCCAACACCTTCACTGATCTGGTCGCATTCCACTATCGATTCTTCCGAATCTTCCGCAATTTCACTTACTTGTTGTGATCTGCACATTTTAGCGAAATGATTCGGTTTACCACAGTTTTTACAGTCCTTTCCCATCGCTGGACAGTTTTTTAGGTGTCCTTGTTCAAACATCCTTCCACATCTATTACATGGTTTCGTTTTCGTGTTTTGATTTTTGTTATTATTCTGTCTGTTATTATTTTCTCTTCTATTTGGAGTTTTGGTTTTCCCCCCCAAATTTCGTACTGCCATTACAGGTTCCTGTTTTATTCTTACACCCGATGTGTAATTGCTACTTGATCCTCCTGCAGCCGCAGCATTAGTCTTTTGAAATGCCATTGTGGTTAACTTGCTATGTTCGAATTTTATAGCTCTTTTTAGAACTTCCTCTGGATCCAGAGTTTCGAATGTCAACGTATCCTGTAATGTCATGTTCTTCATCTTCGAGATGAATAAGTCTCGCACTATTTCATTTTCCAATGTTCCTAGTTCTGATCTGGCTGCCTGAGCAGTTAACGCTGCGTGAAATGATTCTAGAGATTCTCCAGATTCTTGCATTCTCGTAAATAACTTGTATCTCTCGTAGGTTACACATTTCACTTTTTGAAACGAGACTTCTGCCAGATCTGTTACTTCTCTGAACGTCATTTTTGATATTTCTGCGTGCGGATTCTTCTGTAGGAATCTTTTCTTTCCCTCAGTGCCCAAAGATAGAAATAGTCGTGACACCAGTTTCTTTTGTACTTCGTTGTAGAAGACATTGTGTCCAACTCTTGGGCCTCTTGTTCTTTTCTCTTCGTTCTCCAATGCTACTCTGTCTCTTGCTAGTTTATCTCTAAGGATTCTAGCGTTCCTCGCATCTTCGTTCTCCCCATCCCGGGGCGTTTCCGGGCGTGGTGGTGGTTCCTCTAATATGTCTTTTGGTTCTTCCAAAATAATCTCTGGGTTCACATTTTCTTTTACCGTAACCGCCATGAGAAATTGTTCGAACCAAATTTTAAATTGCCACGGAGGGTCTAAATTCGCTGATGCCCAAAATACCGGGATTCCCATATCCGTTCTGTTGTCTTGAGCTGCGAATCCTGCTGGCTGCGCCATGTGATATGCGTTGCGATATCAAATTGAAAACAAGTTGGAATTCAATACTTTATTTAGAAGATTGAATTTAGATTTTCTCTTTTCTTTGTTTTCTTATGTACTGAGAGATAGATCGTTGTTAAGTACTCTGATCTCTCACTTAGTCTCAGTGTCATCACTTATGTATGACCTTGAGCGTACCATAAAATAATGATTTAACACCAGAGGTTGGCTGTACAACCGTATAGTGAGTACTGCTACTGCAGTAGCGGTATGACAATTGATAAGAAAATTATATCACAAAAAAGCCTCTTACACCGCTCAACAAAGTTTAAGAAGGGTTAAATCTCCAAAAGTTTGCGCAAATTATTTAAAATTTGTTTTTAAACAGAGGTACTGGGTTTTTATATCACATTTATTGACTATCAAGTAAAAATTTTTCTTTTATTCTAGTTTTTGGAGATTAAACCCTTCATAAACTTTGTTGAACTGCGTAAGAGGCTTCCTATGATATAATTTTCACATCAATTAACAAAGTAGTTTCAGCGTAATTCTTGATTAATTGAAAAAAGCCAAAATGACCCATTTTTGGGGTAAAATTTTTGTTGAGAATATCGGAGAAAAAATGGCACCATATTAATTCTGGTGAAATTCTAAGCAACTTTTGTCCTGTTCACTTTTTGTCAAATCTTAACCCAATTTGAGAAAAACGCGTTTGAAAACTCAAGTTTTGTTCGTTTTGTCCAGATAATTTAAATCAGCACTGTAAATATGGAGGCAGTAAACTGGCTGAAAGATTGCTATTTATCCAAATTAGCAATTTTTGAACCCACCTTTTTTACGAAAAAGGATCGCAGTTAATTGTTTTTTTTTAAACTTGAGCCCAGGAAGTCAACACTTTTCAGATGATATAGGAAACTCCGTTATAAAGCGGCGAGTTTAAAGTTCTGACAAAAAAACACACTGCGTACAAATATTGCATCCTTTCGTCAAAAGTCAACAACCACTTTCATTTTTGCGAACCTCAAACAAATCGGCCTCGCGAACTAATCGGCTAGCTACATCTTTTCCTCCCATTTCCACTTCTACACTGTATCTCATTGGCTGGTTGTTGTACATGAGCAGTTCAGACATATTCTGATTAGCCGAAGAGGCTGCGTGGGCGAATCCGATCTTTTTCTGTTTGTTTTCCAGTCTGATTTTGTATGATTGATCGGCCGGGAAAATATCTTCTGATGGAACTTCCTGAAACGAAAGGTTTCTTTTATGTCCATGACACCTACTTTTCGAAGTTTCATTTGTAAATTACGTTCATTCTAAGCAATACTTTGAACAAAGTGTTAATTTGTTTTAGTTTTTTCATCTTGCTAATTATGGGCACGCTATATCGGACAAGCTTTCCTGTATACAAAAATGATGGCGCTAAAAGCTAGAGGTAATTTTTTCCTACTTTTTTCGCAAATTTGTAAATAATTGTCCGAGCGGTTCTACTCTTTGAGTCAGCAGATCAACAGAGCTACCTAGATTGGAATAAATTTTAATCACTTGAATAGATAGCACAACTCCGACAGCAAGTCATTGGGGCATTTAAGGGTATCTTGAAATTCTCAATTTACAATCGGATTTTCCCTTATTGGCAAATCCAAAAAAGGGAGTTTTTAGAATTATATTTGAACTTTAAGTAAAGTAAAAACGAAAACAGCTCAAAAAGAAGTTTTTTAAATTATGTACAACTTTTTAATAAGGTAAAAGACAAAAAATAGCGTAGAAATGCTTTTAAAACAAATTATTTTAATTATATTAAATGGTATATCATCGAAAACACTTCTGCGGGAGTATTATGCTTAGTTTTCATCTGCTGTGGGAGATAAATGCTGATTGTTCGAAATTAACATTATGGCGCTGACTATTTTAGTTTTTTCATCTTACCTTGTTCAATTAAAATAAAGTAACGGCGTGACATTTTAACTTTTCTTTTTACAGCGCGTAAAATATATTTGAACTAAAAAAATTGACTGCATTGCAAGCCAAAACTATTTCTAAAGCAGTCAAAACAAATTCATGTAGATTTTTTTTGAATAAAAATATATATTTTTTAAATTTTAAAACATATTGCTAGTAGCAAGAAAAAATAAACTGAGAAATAAAAATCAAGATTTTTTGCATAACATACAATAGATCGAAATCTTTTGAATATCAGTGTTTTATATATAGCCATACCCAACAAAAATTTTCATCCCGATAAAAAATTTTTCCAGATAATTTAACCTGATTTTTTTGTTTTCTGTAAAAAAAAACTATTTATTTTTCATCTTATTTTAGAATTATACAATTTCTGAAAGAATATTCAAAACCAGTTCACTGCTCAACTGCAATGAGATATGCATGCCTCGAGCATACGCAAAAGCCATAGCAAAATAATGCAAGTTATCACCTGTTATAACAAGTGTTACTTTGCATAATTTTCGTAAAATTTTTCTATTATATCAGGTCACGTTTTCTAGCGGTTAGCACAAACTTCAATCCAAAGGTAGTTCAAGTGTTCGAGATCCATCAGGAAATTTTTGTTAAATAGAAATAGCCTAGATTTTCGATCAGAAATAGGATGAGAATAAAGATTTTTAAGAAAATTCCTGCTTGATTTAAACATTTTAAAAAGTCAGATGATTTCAAGTTAAGTATTTCTTGCCAGAAAAAAAAATTGTTCGGTGAGGGAAAGTTTTGTACGGCTATTTTTTTTCCATAAAATGATATCAGTTTTTTTTGTTCCACTTTGAAGTATTGTGTTTACTCAAAAAAAGCACATTCATCAACAGTTTCTAATAAAAGATCACTCATAGATGAATTGGCAACAATCACACAGATAAAACATAGCTGGTGATTCGCCGTGTGAACAAATGTAATCTCTTTCACGTAGAAAACGCGATAATTGATTGAGGGCTAGAAAACTTCTTTTTTTTAAAAGACAGTGATTGAAAGACGCAGCTTGTTTTTTTTAACGTTTATTTTAAAAAATTAGAATTATTTCAACATGCAAAAAATACACAGACCTTATAGCTGAAAACAATTCAGTGCAGTTTATAAAAATAATTTGAAAAATCCAGCTTGGCTTAGATTTTGACAAAAAAACTCTGCCTGCAAAACAAAACATATCTTTTAACTAAACTTTTGGATTGTTTTATTGAAAAACTACTTCTGATTATCATAGAACTCAAATTTTACCTTAAGCTGTACTGATAAAATTTTTATTGAAGATCAGAAAGTGCCTTCAAAACACAAGAGTGGACAGAAAATTTATGCTGATGTCTCTGAACAGCTTATAATGTGTGTATAACATTCGTTTGATTAGCAGTTTTCATACAATCAAGGTATTAAACTGTAAAATTGCTTTATTTTATGAGCAGGTCGTGATGCCTGGTGAATAGAATTTTTTAATACCTCTTAGTAGTATTAATTTATTTCATTTTTTTGCTAAGTTGCATTGTTTTTTTTGCGCCCGCCGGTGTAAAAGATGATTTTTGACTGTTATTTTAGAATGAAAATTCTAAAATAAGTTATATTTTTGAATTAAAATTTTTGTGAATAAAAAGAAATTTAGCGTCCGGGTCAAAAAAAATCGACATTCTGTTTTTGTTCATCTTTTAGTCACGATTAAATTGGTTTCAATTCCAAAATATTTTGAACCAATCAGAATATGTTTGCAGCAAAACAGCAAAATGGCTTTTTTGAGATGGTTTGAAAAAATTTGACCAGAAAACATGTTTAGTTAGCGGGCGCCACCTTCAAAAATATGCATATTCTGAGGCCGATCGATGTCGTAAATGAATGTCGTAGAAACCTTAGACGACCCTGCAAATGCGTTGATTTGCGAAATCAGAGAGAGAGTTCGCAACCATGCCTAAATCCACAACTGGCCACAGCTGTTGTTTCTTCCCAGACTTTTGTTAAAATTCAAAGTTGATGTAGGCAAAAATTGACAAAATAAGGCACTTAGTGCTTTTATCTTGCATGATGCTGATTTTAAAGCTCATTTCGTAAAACATGTCTATTTTATTATTTTTCGGCGTAGGCTAAAAAAGAACATGTCTGTCGAAATAAAATACAAAAATTAAAACGTTACTTTTCCAGTTTCTGAGTCCCAGTAAAAGAATCTTCGGAGTGGTTTTAGATTTCGAGGCACTGCGGCCACCAAATCATTGTGCTGTACTTGACGAGTGTACGCTCCAAATGTTTTCTGAAATCAAATGATAAAAATGTTATTTGTGTACCATATGATTTTTAGTTGTTCCAATTGTTTTTTATTTATCTCACATTTATCCAAAAACTAAATTGAAATTTAAAAAACAACAACAGCGAAAGAAGAGCATTGAAATTAAACAAAATTTGGGATCTTTTTTCAAAATGTAATGTTTACCATTACTTGAAGAGTATTCGATCCAAACGTTATTTGAAACCACACGAAAAAATATACATTTTTTGTAGTATAAATAGAGGCATATTTAGAGGGGTGGGTATTCAACTTTGTAATAATTCACTCCTCTCAGTACTATTCGGTGGCTTCTTATAAATTGCTTACGAAACAAAAAAAATGGCAATATGGTGCTTTGACATAGGTCGGAAAATCAATTTGATGTTTTTTTTCATATCCTTTTAAAAAAGATTAGTACATAAAATCAGCGACTGGATTTAGAGTTTAATTTTACGCAATCTCAAACAACTTTTTACTCAACAACTGATTTTGGTTTTTAAAAAGACGTCAGAATGTGCTTGTCGAAGTCGATTTTTATTTCATCAACCTCAAGCTGAAGTTGTTTAGAGGTTTACTAACTCTAAGCTGGGGTCCCATCATGAAGTCTTGGTATTGAAGTTTGTGCAGAGAGTTCAATCTGAGAGCATCCCACACTATATCCGCATCTTCTGAAAAAACATTTCTTTTGATTAATTGCAGAAAGAGAAAAAGAAAACTTTTTTGATAAAATTTAGAAGTAAAATAAATTTTAAAGAAGAAAAAAACGTATCTAGTAAGCAATTTTAATATACATATCTAGTTCAACTTCTAATGAAAAATTTTAATTTTAGGTTTTTTAAATATGCTAAGCGTTTTTATACTCGTTTGTTTCAATTTACAACTTTTAGGTTCCCTAAATTCAGTCAAAATTAATTTTCTGGTAATCTTGCAAATATATCGTAATGTAGAATTACGTTCATCTTGCAAGGTTATATTTATTTGCAAGATCTTGACAAGATGGGCATGCATCTTGTCAAAAATCTTGAACGTGATAAATCGAGAAAAAAAACGAGAAAATGTATTTTACAACTTCCTTTTCAATTAATTCAGGTAAAAAAATTCGTGCTAGTTTTTATTTGTTTCTTAAAATTCCATTGAATTGGCTGAACTAATAAAAAAAAACGCAGAAAAGTACCGTAACGTTAAAATTGAAAATAGAATTTAATTTGGAGGCCAGCCTCTTCTTTGATTGGCTAGAAAACCTTTGGAACTCACGTTCTATTTCGTCCAACTTGACAGCATCTTTGCGAATGTGATGGACGGGAGGGGCATCTGGGTTGATGAAATGAGTAGCCCAGAATGGTCCGAACGTCCTATAACAAAAACAAAGCTTGAATCACGTGACTTAGTTGAGTTTTTAAAGCAAAAAGTTTCATTTAAAATCTTTTTCAAAAACAAATTCAATAGGTAGTCTTTTAGAACAACTATCAAAAAATGAAAAATCTTTGCAAAAAAATGTTTGCTGAGAATTTAACTTTTTGACATTTTGACGTCAATGAAGTTTTTTTGCAGCATCAGAAGAACATAAAGGTCAAAGTCGAACAAAAACTGACTGATTAATATCTTAGTGTAAATCAATTCAAAGTTTGAAAAATCTTGTTTTGTGAAAAATGAAAAATTTGGGAGTTCTCAATTTCCACAAGTTTTCCAAAAAGATGAAACAATTCCTGTTGTTTTTGACCTATTTTTGTTTTATAAGCATGTTTTCCATTAAATCCAGGTACAATTTTTTTTGCATAAAGATCAAATCAGATACAGTGCTGACATAAACTCTCAGGACTAAAAAAATTAACTAAAAACTCTATTAGCAATTAGCACCTAATATACAATTTTTTTAACATTTAGTTACATAAAACTTTTTACCTAATTCACAAATACAGATAAATACTAAAGATAACAAAATTTAATATTTGGATTGATAACCATTATTTTTCAGAGCTGCATTTATTCTACGAAGAATGCTCCGATGTAACCGATGAATGCAGTCGCCCGGAATTGCCAAAACGTTTCGAAAATTTTACAAATAAGTTTCATAACTCTTGTAGTGTGTTTTTCACGAATCTTCTGTTTGATGTAATTCCATAATTTTGAAAAATGATCAAATCTGAGCGATTTTTCTAAATTTGAAAACTGTTTTTTGTAGAAAGTTTGTGAGTTACGGCAACTGGTACTGTCTTGCTGGAAAATTTCATCCAAATGAAACTTCCATTATGTGGGTTTCAGGTAAATTGCAATATTTGGCAGAATTAATGATCCCGTCGATGACTACAAAATCTCTTTCTCTAGAAAATGTTATATGGCTTCAAAACACCACCTTTTTCCCGCCAAATTTTGCCATTGGAATGATATAATTGGGGTGTTTTTGCATATATGCGGGTCGTCTCACGTAAATCTCGGCGCTTGAGTATAAAATAGTTTTGTCTAAAAATTTTATATTTTATATTTTTCAAAAATGTTGTTTTTTGAGTTATTTTCTATTGATGTCCAAAATTTTGAGTTTTTTGGCGCTGACTTGCGCCCTCACTCCTTTTCTGACCAAAATTGATTGAATGTTGCTGGCTGATGAGTATAAAGCTGGCTCAATTTAGTTTCGAAGCTCTTGAGAAGTCGCAAACGGATTTTTTTTGCAATTAATCAAATTAAATAACTTCAGTCTCTGCAATTAAATAACTTCAGTCTCTTTTGGCATTTTTTTTTTCGATCGACCGACGTTTTTGGCTCTATCATGTCGTCCATTATCCAACTTACGGTTTTTGTTCACCAAAAAACTCCACGCAGTAGATTTAGCAACATAAGCTTTTCTTCAATATATCATGTAAACTATACATTTTAGGGGGAAAATTCCAAAGTTTGGAACTTTTTGCGTAGCAAAACAAATCACATAATAAACGTACTAACGTTTTTGCTTAGTTTTCAAAAATGTGATTTTTTGTTGAATGTAGCAGGAATCTCTAGAAAACCTTTTCAGTTGGAATAATGAGAATTTCTTCAAAAATATTAGTTTCAAATCTTTAATCCGGATAGTTTAAATCAGCACTGAATTGCAGACAAACGCCACAAATTGTTTGCAAAATCAGCCAGAAAATTAGTATGTTTTTTTTCTGAAACTATTCACAAAACTTGTGTGACTTGTGTGAAATTTTTCATAGTCACCTTCAATGGAACCGTAAGGAAAAGGAAATCATTGTTGTTCAATGGTTCTAGGTAGACCTATTTTTCCACTTACTGAAACTCATTAAGTTAGGGAAAGCCATGCAGTTCTTGGAATGCAAAACTTGCAAGATTATTGGAACAAATCTTGCTTTGAAAACTTTATTATTACTTATTTCTTGCAATCTTTTTGTGAAACTATCTTTCGTCCCTCAAAAATTGCATTCATCTTATAGAATTTTGGAAAATTGGCATTCCAATTGCAGGAAAGAACCAAAGCAATTAATCAAACTTTTTTTTTTAATTTTTGTGCCCTTTTTGATATGTTAAGTGATAAGTGCTTATAGTGGTTTTTGCAACTTCAAAGATGTCAGAAAACACATGGAGTCGTTCAAATATGACAGAAGATGAGTAGAGAAAATAAATGAACAAATGAAAATCAATCATTTCAATTTTCATTTTGGTATTTTTTTTTTAAAAACTTAAATTACGAGGCCAAACTGTGCACTGGATAGGCGCACAATTCCGTGTCTATCTGTTCCTGGATTCCAGAGACAAGTCTTAAAACATGTTCCAAAATGTAGGCGGATTCCGCTTACAAAATTGTCGTGGATTCCGCGAACAAAAATCTGCAACGTAAATTTTGTCGGCCTATTTGTGTTATTGCGGGTTGTGCAACAAATGAATTTAGGAGGTTGATCTGGATTCCGCAACTGTAAGTGGCTTCCGCATAGGTAAGTGGAAACCGCAAATTTAACTAGAATCCGTAAAATCTGTAAGCGGATTCCGCAAATTGTAATTGGATTCCGCTATTGTGTTTATTACTGAGCTTGCATATGAACAATTAAAAACTAGAGCTTGAATTATTATCTATAGCAATGCGGAACATTAAAGCAAGGAAATAAATGTTTTTCAGCGGAACAAAGCTTAAAACATTGGTTAACTAAATCAATGGGTGTCAACCTTAAGTATTGATCACCCAGAAAACTACCTCAAATTATTTTCTTCCGAGATTGTTGAAAACACAATCACCAAATGAAATCTTTAGTGGTTCAGTTTTGGATCAGAAAATATCAACAGTATTTGTGATGAGATGGTTCGGAGGTTTAGTGGAGGGGGTTTCAAGTCATCAGTATTTGAGAGGAGATGGTTCAGCGGTTTATTTGAAAAGAGGTCCCGTGAAAATTTTCTATCGTTATAAAGCCATTGCTACAGGCTAATTTTTTTCTATCTGCCTAACAATTTAATTTAGATGCTACTATATATGTATACAAACGATTTAAATTAAAATGCTGCAAAATATGTAACTGTAATCCGCAAACAAACTGCGGATTCCGCTTACAATTTGCGGATTCCGCTTACAATTTGCGGATTCCGCTTACAATTTGCGGATTCCGCTTTTAATTTGCGGATTTCGCTTACAAGTTGCAAATTCCGCAAACAGTTGCCGATACCGCAACAGCTCAATTTTACTATAGCTACAGTTTATCATTTGCTTGTGGATTCCACAAACTATTCCGGATTCCGCAAATTTTGTTGCGAATTCCGCAAATTTGCCTAGTTTTCGAGTGATTTTGAGCAGTACAGTGTTTTCACTAATTATTTGTGGAATCCAAAACAGAAAAGAAGATCAAAGCAAAGTAGCAATGCTGCGGATTTTGCAACAAATTTGATTTTGGTCTGTTGGAGAATCCACTTGCAATTCACAAAATGAACAGTTTGGCCTGCCTCTTCATGCAAAATAGTTGACAAGTGCTTTGCTGAACAAATCCGAATCAGATAATCAGAATAAACAAAAAACTTGAATGACCATTTGATAAAAAAAAAGTTACAAGGTGCAAATCAGTAAATGCTCAAAAAGCAGGTTTTTAAACTTTTTTCCATCATTTTTGAACCTTAAAAAAGCTGCCAAGAGAGTTACAGGAATGAAGAAATCAAATCTTGCAGTGCTCTCGCGAGTTTTTGCAAAATTTACATTCATTTATAAGAGCTCTGCAGCATTTGCAGTCAAAACCTCAAAGAATGGTTGCAAAAGCAGGATAAAAAAAGATCTAAAAACTTCAGCAATGAACAACAAATTGTTCAGCTTTTCACAATAAACCACTTTCCGAGCTGAGCTGATCAACTCATGATATGACCGAAACAGTTCCGTCGAACAATAATTTCTTTTAAACCAAAATCAATCTTGAGTCCCAATAGTGTCTAAACATGAGTGCCTGGTCAAGTAAAATGTTGAAGACAATTGAAGATGATCAAATCATGGGTCGATTAGGTTTAAATCAAAGGTCGAGCAGGGCGTAAAATATGGTAACAAAAGTGTTCACTTGAAAATTGAGCAAACAAAATTCTACTGATAATCAAATTTTTTTGTTTGGCGTGCAGTATAAGCTTCACTGGGATGTTTTTGGTTCTAGGTTTTGAGATATAGAGCACCCGCGGAAGAAAAAACAATTTTCGTGAACAATTGTAGTGTAAGTGTCACAAATATTAGTCTTCTGGCTGTTTTTATGCATGAAAGCGTAGAACTTGATGCGATGCGGAAAAAGAGTAATTGAAATTTGAACACATTTGAACACAAGCGCTAAAATTGAGCAAAATTGAAGGGAAATGAACATAGTCGAACGAAATCACACAAAAACCTGAAAACGTATAAAATCATAACAAAAAACTTCAACGCGGACATTTATTGGCCAATAAAATGGATGACGTAAGGCGGATATTGAGTGACTCATATTGATTCAATCATTTTGATAGTTTTGACTGAATCATGAGTCGAAGACCTTGAGCCTAGGTATAACTGTTTCAAAATGCTATTAGTTGGTGATACTTTTTCTCCCTACTGACAAGAACAATTTAATTGAACAGAGTAGAATTACCTGTACTGAAGTTTGTAGTAAAATTAAAATCTGGACATCGAAAATACATACAAAATCCATATCTGTATTAGTCTTTTGACACTTCTCTGAAGCAGACATGAACCCGAAATGGTAATCATGAAAAAACCAGATCTTGAGTAAACCTGGACCAGATCAGATTTGAAGTAAACCTGGACCAGACATGTTCATGTCTGAACCCACCTGATCAGACCTGAAGCAGACATGATCATACCTGTCTTTTACATGATTATACCTGGACCAGAGAAGATCATGCCTGAAATTACATGATCAGACCTGAAGCAGACATGATCATACCTGACTTTTAATGATCATACCCAGACCAGACATACTCATGCTTGAAATTACATGATCAGACCTGAAGCAGACTTATTATGATGTTTATGTAAGACCGGGAAAATCCGTGAGTCAACTGAATATATATTCGGTGTTAACTCGAGAAGCAAATATCAGTTTAAAATTTGTGACAGGCAATGCCCAGCATGCCAGATAGTAATGTGACAAGAACAGATACTACACATGATCTTAGCCAAAAAGCCGAGAAGCGATAAGTGAAACAAATGGTTTCTTTTCTACATGCCTCAGACACAACAAAGAAACAGCAGCTCGGACCTTAAAACTTTTAAACTATCGACTGGATTGGGAGCTAGGTCGCTCCCGAAACAATTGATACAAGGTCAGGTAAGCAGTTAAAACTAGGCAGTAATTTTGATTCTTTGCCTTATCAAAACACCCTGCCGATTTGTAACTCTATTGTATAACTACAGATCACTACATTATAACCATCTGCGTTTCTCCCGTTACATGGGACTAAGTTTTTTCTACATGATCAGACCTGAAGCAGGTATACTCATGTCTGACTCAGGTATAATAATTTCTGACCAGGTATAGTAATGTCTGACCAGGTATTGTCATGTCTGACCAGGTATAGTCATTTCTGACCTGGTTTAGCCATATCTGACTCAGGCATAGTCTGCAAACGACTGAGGTTATCACATGTGAAAGAGATAAGCACAGAGCTGGAAAACAGCTAGAGTCTGACAATTGTATGATAAGACATGAAATTGAGATAAAAGTTCGGTACAGGTAATCTTTCGATTTTGTTGTGATAGTGGCTTCCGGTTTCATGTTCGAATTGAAATCAGTGGCTTACAAAGTCTTAAAACAGATAAGATAAACTTGGAGAACTAGTTTTCAACGCCATGACATGATCTTATAATGGAGCTTTTCTAAAAGATTTCAAAATTTGTTCCGACATATGGGTATTTATTATCTTCAGTTACTGTAACTAATAAAAGCTAAGAGATCTCCTTACATAAGGTGACCTAGGGTTTAATTTTGGATAGAAAAAACTGGTAAAACGATTCCATAAAATAACAGAGCGCTAATCATACAACCCCAGACAAAATAGGCTATCATAGATTTTCCATGCAGCTTTTTAAATATGGAGTTGTATTTAAATTGTTTAGCGAGAAAAATTACGAATACAATTATTAGGTCACAAGGATTGCGCACGAGACGCCCTGAGACTCATCAACACGAGACTCTAGAAAAACAAAAAACACGAGAATCAAGATACTAACATTTATGAAATCTGGTTGAATTCATTCAAATCTAATGGAATAGTTTTTGCTTTTAACTTTTGCATTTGATCAAAAGCAAGGAAACTAATTAAAAGTAGGCATGTTTTTCGTCATATTATCCCTTTTTTGCTCTGTCTAATTTGACGGAAAAATTGGCCACTTAAATTTTTGTAAAGTAGTTTTGAAAAATACTTTTCATATAGTCAGTCTCGTTAAATGAAAAGGCTTTCAACTTAACAATTCATCCAACAATTCTTTTGTTGATTATTTTTAGAATGGCCGAAAATTATCAAAAACGTTAAAAATTGAGTTAATCAGTCATTCAAAGGAGATGTTTTTTACTTTTACTAATCATAAGATACAAAAAAAAGAAGCTTGCAAAAAAGATTATCACTCTTAAAGTAATCAAAACTTCTTCGACAATAATTATTTTCAACTTATTTTCTCATATTACCCAAAATCAAAGTCGAGTTTCAGTGCCTTAAGGTTACCTTTTTTACTATGAACGGTTTCCTTTGTCCTAAAACTTGTTTATTAAAAGCACGATGAGCCAATACTTGTAAGTTGTTTGGTAATGATTTTTGAACAGAAAGTCCTAAAGACCTCAAGATAATAAAATATTCGAACGCTAATTTTAGAAAGATGATCAAGAATCTCTACGTTTATGTAAGGATGGTGGTCGATACAAAATGCTTACTAAATGATTATTTGCTTTGTTACTCGTAGAAGTAACCAGGCTTTCCATTTCACTTTCGAGAGCGTGTGTATCACCGTGCGCGCCATCTATCAAAAATTACGCAAAACTCTCACCTTTTTCCCTTTGCCTGTAGCGTGTTAGGAGTTTTTAGTATCCATCTAGATTAAATTAATCTATGGGGTCGTCATCATGTAACCATCTTTCACAAAGACTTAGTTCTAGGGGAAACGAGTCAAAGCATTCTGTTTTACATTTTACATGGTCATGGTGGCATCTAAAAATGGCACGTTAAGAAAAAACGATAAACCATTTTTGAATTCCTCTTGTAGTGTTATACTTGAATAGTTTTCCATGATTAACAAAAAAACTGAAAGCAGATAGAGCTATGTTATCAACTAATCCCGCTTAAACCCGTTCTAAGTTAATCATCATAAATCGAATCTATGTCAACAACAACCTCTTTCTATATCAACAACAAAAATACAAGGGTTCTCTCACTTAGAAAAACCCATGTTGCTATTGTATTAATTGAGTTACAAGATTGATGAGCTGATCAAGTTTAGCTTCTATTTCAATTTTGCATTTTCTCCCACAAAGTTTAGACAATTATTTCCGTCGCGCATCAGTAAATTCCTTTGAGTTTTCTTTTTTATTTTAGTTCAAAGCCAAGTTCAAACCCAAAGTTTATTTTAGTTTCCTTAGTTCAAACCTAAAACACACATAAATTTTTTTTCGAGGTAATCCGATCCATTTTTTTTTTCATTTTAGTTTTTGAAGTTCCGTCTACTGAAAACCTCACCCTTCTTTGTTTTTGTGGACATATGGGTAACCTTGGCGTGCTCCAGTATTTGGTCATTTGGTGTCAGCTTTTCAACCAAAAAGAAAGAATTCCCAGCTCGATTTCATATTTTTTCCAAAATATCTTTATAGTATCAAACCAAATCGATGATGATAAATAAATATGGCAATTGTTGGCCTGCGTCATGCTCTGGGAAGAAAACGAAAAGCCGCGAGCTCCACGTCATTGATAGGTGTACCGCTTTGATCGTAATGACATTTAAGAGAGGATCCCAAGGATCTGATGCATCTGGTCCGTGAAAAAATCTAACACGTTGGAGGAATAACGCTCAAAATCAAGCATTTTTTTATTGATAAGTCGCTGTTTCTGAAGTAATTCTAGCGCAACAAACTTCTAATGTTGGGTGTCGATGAGATCCAAAATATGACGAGATAGTATTTTTTCTCAAAATTAGAGAAGTCCGAATGTTCAAACTGTTGTCTGATGGCAGCTGTCATGTTTAGCGGGAAAGTTCCAGCGAGGAAAACTACAACTAGAGCACAGCTGACAAAAAATTCAATAATGTGCATTGGCATGGCAAGACCAACATTTTCTGTAAGCCCGTCGATGGTGAGGTTTAACAGAAATGAGCTGTGTTTATTTTGTCATCTACTTCAAACGTTCAGAGGTCAAATTTTAATCATTTTATCAGAAAACTGGGAAAAATCACGACTTTTAGAGGAGGAGTCAAGCGACAATAGTTAGCAAAAAGTATACGGGGTCCACTAATTTAAGTGCATTTTCAATGCACGCTTAGCAAGATTAATTTTTTGGCCTTAACTAGCAGAAATCCACAGTACTAACCCCTTTGAGAACAAAAATTCAATGCAGTTCGCTTACAACTGCAATTAGAACCTATTGGAAACGTACTGTGACAAGCGGGCTTTTGCAAGGTTAGTTACTTTCAGCTAATTAAAGATAAGGCAAACTGCAACCTAACTTCACCTCAAAGCTGAAGACTAAAGTTACTAAAGCCTTGGTTAATCAAAATAATACTATAATTATGTTCGGTGATATTGTTTAGAAAATACATTTTACAGATACAGAATTAATCTATAAAACGTCATCCAAAGTTCCTTTTGTCAACTTCCGAATCCATTGGATTAAGTTTTGATGTTTAACCTTTCCAGACAAATCCGAGTCGTTTAGCAGTGTTGTTGCATTGTCCTTGTTTAGTATCAACGGCACCAGGAGCTTGATAACATGGCATTTCTTTTCCATATTTATCTGATGTTTGGTAACTCGGCCTAAGATTGCCTTCGCTGTCAAACATCGGGCCTTTCCCCCCTCCGAATCCATTGTTCGCAACTTTCACCAACGGGTACAGATTTTTGGCGCCGCGATCTTTTTCTTCGCTCATCACTTCCTGGGCGTATTTCTGGAACTGTTCCGCTTCGAGCCTCAACAACTCGACGTTTCGATAATCCGTATCGAGTTCGGACGCTCGGATCTTCTGATCTTTTTCCTTTCGTTCGTTCGATTGAGCGAGATGGATTTGTTTCAGCGCTTTGTCCTGTTCAAATCGTTCGGCCGCTTTTTTATCCTCGTGTTCTTTGAATAGTTCGTCGGCCATAAGCCTTGCATGGCGCATTTCAATAGCTTCGAGTCTTTCTTTTTTCTCTCGGTCTTCTTTTTGTTTCTGTGTTTCGATTCGGTGTTTGTTTATTGAATCGAACATTTCTTGCTGCTGCTTCATTTTCTCCGCGTTATCCTTGGCGTCTTTCTCCTCTTTTTCCTTCAAAGCCACGAAAAGTCGATCTTCTTCCTGATTTTTCTGCTGTCGTAAAATATTTCCCAACTTCTCAGTTTGTTCATCCCGAATTCGAAGTTGTTCATTCGGCATTTGACGTTCTTTTTGCGCGCGTAGTTTGGCCATTTCTCGTTTTGCGAGCGCAAATCTTCGGATTTTGTCGTCATTCTCTTCTTCATTTTGGCGCTCAATTGCGCTTAGAAGAGTTTTATTTTCTAGCGTTCCTTCGTGCGCTCTAAGCAATTGTTTCTTTTCTTCCTCCTTTACTCTTTCGATTCTTGCAATTTCTTCGTTGTACTGACGTAACGCGTCTTGAATTTCAATGCCTTCCATTTTATCCCGAAGTTTTTCCTTTTCTTTTTCCATATGGCGGTCTTTGACTTGCTTGATTACGTAACTGTTATTTTTAACAGCCTCCTCGTAGCGCTTAAGAGCGTCTTGTTTCTCCTTAAGCATTGCTTGTTCGTTTTCGGCTATGGCTTTTGCGAGATATTTCGCGTCCGAGTTCGCTTGGGCCGATTTGATTCTCTTCTTGAGCTTTAACTGTTCGTCTCGTTCTCGTAAAACTTCGGTTAAGGTCAACGCGCTATGTAGATTTTTAACCCTGTCGGTTTTCCAGTATTGTAGTTTTTTCGCCTCATCCAAAATCTTTTTTCTTTCTTCCGCTTGAAATTTCGCTTCCTCAATGTCAATGACTTTTCGCTCTTCTTCATCTTTCGCTTCTCGAATCTTCCGAGCTTCTAGTTTTTTAGCTCTCTGTCCTGCAATTGTATTTGTCCAAGTACTTACAAGTTTCTTACTTTCTGCCCGTAGTTTTTCACGCTGCTCTTGATTCGCTTTGGCTATTTTTTCGGCCATTGGTTCATCGGATAACTGGTCGTTAATCCTCTCCCATTCCGCTCTGGGTAAGACTGTGACTCGTTCAAGTTGACCCTCGGAGCTGTGGTCATTGGTCCTTCATTCATCCCTGGTATCATGTTTGGGCCACCCCGTTTCTGCTGTTTATAAATCGCGGTCGTCATAATTTTGCCTTTAAAACCAGAATGCGTCTATAACTTAACTATCCAGTTTCGATTTGAATACAATTTTACATTTAGTAAGGGATTTAATGTGTTTTTTGTTTTTGAATTGTGACAAAACGCTATCCAAAATTGAAACAGTTCATTGATGTAAATGTGAGCTGTGTGTTACATGTGCACGTTTTTTGAAAAATGGCACGTGCATATTTTTCTACCATAATATACCATAAGAGTGGCTTAAGCAATGTTTTATAAGACAGGTGTAACTTTACCAACAACCAGCAAAATATTTTGTGCAGTCTAGGTATATAAAGGCTGTTTTTTTCATGAATCCTCTCTCATTTAACAAATATCTGGGCTATAGAAGCCAATCTTTCTGCAATCGGCAGCAAACTTTCGCCGAAGTCCGATGATATATTTCATTAAATTTTATTTTTTCTTGGTCAGGCACTATCGCAACTTATTGGTTATCCACTACATTTTGTGCTGAAAAAGTGACTTCTGTACTGAAATAAAATAACCAGGAAGAAGGAATACGTCTCCCGTTACATGGGACTAAGTTTTTTCTACATGATCAGACCTGAAGCAGGTATACTCATGTCTGACTCAGGTATAATAATTTCTGACCAGGTATAGTAATGTCTGACCAGGTATAGTAATGTCTGACCAGGTATTGTCATGTCTGACCAGGTATAGTCATTTCTGACCTGGTTTAGCCATATCTGACTCAAGCATAGTCTGCAAACGACTGATGTTATCACATGTGAAAGAGATAAGCACAGAGCTGGAAAACAGCTAGAGTCTGACAATTGTATGATAAGACATGAAATTGAGATAAAAGTTCGGTACAGGTAATCTTTCGATTTTGTTGTGATAGTGGCTTCCGGTTTCATGTTCGAATTGAAATCAGTGGCTTACAAAGTTTTAAAACAGATAAGATAAACTTGGAGAACTAGTTTTCAACGCCATGACATGATCTTATAATGGAGCTTTTCTAAAAGATTTCAAAATTTGTTCCGACATGTGGGTATTTATTATCTTCAGTTACTGTAACTAATAAAAGCTAAGAGATCTCCTTACATAAGGTGACCTAGGGTTTAATTTTGGATAGAAAAAACTGGTAAAACGATTCCATAAAATACCAGAGCGCCAATCATACAACCCCAGACAAAATAGGCTATCATAGATTTTCCATGCAGCTTTTTAAATATGGAGTTGTATTTAAATTGTTTAGTGAGAAAAATTACGAATACAATTATTAGGTCACAAGGATTGCGCACGAGACGCCCTGAGACTCATCAACACGAGACTCTAGAAAAACAAAAAACACGAGAATCAAGATACTAACATTTATGAAATCTGGTTGAATTCATTCAAATCTAATGGAATAGTTTTTGCTTTTAACCTTTGCATTTGATCAAAAGCAAGGAAACTAATTAAAAGTAGGCATGTTTTTCGTCATATTATCGCTTTTTTGCTCTGTCTAATTTGACGGAAAAATTGGCCACTTAAATTTTTGTAAAGTAGTTTTGAAAAATACTTTTCATATAGTCAGTCTCGTTAAATGAAAAGGCTTTCAACTTAACAATTCATCCAACAATTCTTTTGTTGATTATTTTTAGAATGGCCGAAAATTATCAAAAACGTTAAAAATTGAGTTAATCAGTCATTCAAAGGAGATGTTTTTTACTTTTACTAATCATAAGATACAAAAAAAAGAAGCTTGCAAAAAAGATTATCACTCTTAAAGTAATCAAAACTTCTTCGACAATAATTATTTTCAACTTATTTTCTCATATTACCCAAAATCAAAGTCGAGTTTCAGTGCCTAAAGGTTACCTTTTTTACTATGAACGGTTTCCTTTGTCCTAAAACTTGTTTATTAAAAGCACGATGAGCCAATACTTGTAAGTTGTTTGGTAATGATTTTTGAACAGAAAGTCCTAAAGACCTCAAGATAATAAAATATTCGAACGCTAATTTTAGAAAGATGATCAAGAATCTCTACGTTTATGTAAGGATGGTGGTCGATACAAAATGCTTACTAAATGATTATTTGCTTTGTTACTCGTAGAAGTAACCAGGCTTTCCATTTCACTTTCGAGAGCGTGTGTATCACCGTGCGCGCCATCTATCAAAAATTACGCAAAACTCTCACCTTTTTCCCTTTGCCTGTAGCGTGTTAGGAGTTTTTAGTATCCATCTAGATTAAATTAATCTATGGGGTCGTCATCATGTAACCATCTTTAACAAAGACTTAGTTCTAGGGGAAACGAGTCAAAGCATTCTGTTTTACATTTTACATGGTCATGGTGGCATCTAAAAATGGCAAGTTAAGAAAAAACGATAAACCATTTTTGAATTCGTCTTGTAGTGTTATACTTGAATAGTTTTCCATGATTAACAAAAAAACTGAAAGCAGATAGAGCTATGTTATCAACTAATCCCGCTTAAACCCGCTCTAAGTTAATCATCATAAATCAAATCTATGTCAACAACAACCTCTTTCTATATCAACAACAAAAATACAAGGGTTCTCTCACTTAGAAAAACCCATGTTGCTATTGTATTAATTGAGTTACAAGATTGATGAGCTGATCAAGTTTAGCTTCTATTTCAATTTTGCATTTTCTCCCACAAAGTTTAGACAATTATTTCCGTCGCGCATCAGTAAATTCCTTTGAGTTTTCTTTTTTATTTTAGTTCAAAGCCAAGTTCAAACCCAAAGTTTATTTTAGTTTCCTTAGTTCAAACCTAAAACACACATAAATTTTTTTTCGAGGTAATCCGATCCATTTTTTTTCATTTAAGTTTTTGAAGTTCCGTCTACTGAAAACCTCACCCTTCTTTGTTTTGTGGACATATGGTAACCTTGGCGTGCTCCAGTATTTGGTCATTTGGTGTCAGCTTTTCAACCAAAAAGAAAGAATTCCCAGCTCGATTTCATATTTTTTCCAAAATATCTTTATAGTATCAAACCAAATCGATGATGATAAATAAATATGGCAATTGTTGGCCTGCGTCCTGCTCTGGGAAGAAAACGAAAAGCCGCGAGCTTCACGTCATTGATAGGTGTACCGCTTTGATCGTAATGACATTTAAGAGAGGATCCCAAGGATCTGATGCATCTGGTCCGTGAAAAAATCTAACACGTTGGAGGAATAACGCTCAAAATCAAGCATTTTTTTATTGATAAGTCGCTGTTTCTGAAGTAATTCTAGCGCAACAAACTTCTAATGTTGGGTGTCGATGAGATCCAAAATATGACCAGATAGTATTTTTTCTCAAAATTAGAGAAGTCCGAATGTTCAAACTGTTGTCTGATGGCAGCTGTCATGTTTAGCGGGAAAGTTCCAGCGAGGAAAACTACAACTAGAGCACAGCTGACAAAAAATTCAATAATGTGCATTGGCATGGCAAGACCAACATTTTCTGTAAGCCCGTCGATGGTGAGGTTTAACAGAAATGAGCTGTGTTTATTTTGTCATCTACTTCAAACGTTCAGAGGTCAAATTTTAATCATTTTATCAGAAAACTGGGAAAAATCACGACTTTTAGAGGAGGAGTCAAGCGACAATAGTTAGCAAAAAGTATACGGGGTCCACTAATTTAAGTGCATTTTCAATGCACGCTTAGCAAGATTAATTTTTTGGCCTTAACTAGCAGAAATCCACAGTACTAACCCCTTTGAGAACAAAAATTCAATGCAGTTCGCTTACAACTGCAATTAGAACCTATTGGAAACGTACTGTGACAAGCGGGCTTTTGCAAGGTTAGTTACTTTCAGCTAATTAAAGATAAGGCAAACTGCAACCTAACTTCACCTCAAAGCTGAAGACTAAAGTTACTAAAGACTTGGTTAATCAAAATAATACTATAATTATGTTCGGTGATATTGTTTAGAAAATACATTTTACAGATACAGAATTAATCTATAAAACGTCATCCAAAGTTCCTTTTGTCAACTTCCGAATCCATTGGATTAAGTTTTGATGTTTAACCTTTCCAGACAAATCCGAGTCGTTTAGCAGTGTTGTTGCATTGTCCTTGTTTAGTATCAACGGCACCAGGAGCTTGATAACATGGCATTTCTTTTCCATATTTATCTGATGTTTGGTAACTCGGCCTAAGATTGCCTTCGCTGTCAAACATCGGGCCTTTCCCCCCTCCGAATCCATTGTTCGCAACTTTCACCAACGGGTACAGATTTTTGGCGCCGCGATCTTTTTCTTCGCTCATCACTTCCTGGGCGTATTTCTGGAACTGTTCCGCTTCGAGCCTCAACAACTCGACGTTTCGATAATCCGTATCGAGTTCGGACGCTCGGATCTTCTGATCTTTTTCCTTTCGTTCGTTCGATTGAGCGAGATGGATTTGTTTCAGCGCTTTGTCCTGTTCAAATCGTTCGGCCGCTTTTTTATCCTCGTGTTCTTTGAATAGTTCGTCGGCCATAAGCCTTGCATGGCGCATTTCAATAGCTTCGAGTCTTTCTTTTTTCTCTCGGTCTTCTTTTTGTTTCTGTGTTTCGATTCGGTGTTTGTTTATTGAATCGAACATTTCTTGCTGCTGCTTCATTTTCTCCGCGTTATCCTTGGCGTCTTTCTCCTCTTTTTCCTTCAAAGCCACGAAAAGTCGATCTTCTTCCTGATTTTTCTGCTGTCGTAAAATATTTCCCAACTTCTCAGTTTGTTCATCCCGAATTCGAAGTTGTTCATTCAGCATTTGACGTTCTTTTTGCGCGCGTAGTTTGGCCATTTCTCGTTTTGCGAGCGCAAATCTTCGGATTTTGTCGTCATTCTCTTCTTCATTTTGGCGCTCAATTGCGCTTAGAAGAGTTTTATTTTCTAGCGTTCCTTCGTGCGCTCTAAGCAATTGTTTCTTTTCTTCCTCCTTTACTCTTTCGATTCTTGCAATTTCTTCGTTGTACTGACGTAACGCGTCTTGGATTTCAATGCCTTCCATTTTATCCCGAAGTTTTTCCTTTTCTTTTTCCATATGGCGGTCTTTAACTTGCTTGATTACGTAACTGTTATTTTTAACAGCCTCCTCGTAGCGCTTAAGAGCGTCTTGTTTCTCCTTAAGCATTGCTTGTTCGTTTTCGGCTATGGCTTTCGCGAGATATTTCGCGTCCGAGTTCGCTTGGGCCGATTTGATTCGCTTCTTGAGCTTTAACTGTTCGTCTCGTTCTCGTAAAACTTCGGTTAAGGTCAACGCGCTGTGTAGATTTTTAACCCTGTCGGTTTTCCAGTATTGTAGTTTTTTCGCCTCATCCAAAATCTTTTTTCTTTCTTCGGCTTGAAATTTCGCTTCCTCAATGTCAATGACTTTTCGCTCTTCTTCATCTTTCGCTTCTCGAATCTTCCGAGCTTCTAGTTTTTTAGCTCTCTGTCCTGCAATTGTATTTGTCCAAGTACTTATAAGTTTCTTACTTTCTGCCCGTAGTTTTTCACGCTGCTCTTGATTCGCTTTGCCTATTTTTTCGGCCATTGGTTCATCGGATAACTGGTCTTTAATCCTCTCCCATTCTGCTCTGGGTAAGACTGTAACTTCGTTTAAATTGACCCTCGGAGCTGTGGTCATTGGTCCTTCATTCATCCCTGGTATCATGTTTGGGCCGCCCCGTTTCTGCTGTTTATAAATCGCGGTCGTCATAATTTTGTCTTTATAACCAGAATGCGTCTATAACTAGCCAGTTTTAGATTTGAATTCAATTTTACATTCAGTAAGAGATTGAATGTGTTTTTGTTTTTGAATTGTGACAAAACGCTATCCAAAATTGAAACAGTTCATTGATGAAAATGTGTGTTATGTATTACATATGCACGTTTTTTGAAAAATGGCACGTGCATATTTTTCTACCATTTTATACCATAAGAGTGGCTTAAGCAATGTTTTATAAGACAGGTGTAATTTTACCAACAACCAGCAAAATATTTTGCGCAGTCTAGTTATATTAAGGGTGTTTTTTTTATGAATTCTTTCTCATTTGACTAATATTTGGGCTATTGAAGCCAACCTTTCTGCAATAGGCAGCAAACTTTCGCCAAAAACGATAACATGTTTCATAAAAATCGATTGTTTTTTGTACAGAAAACGCTTGTTCAGCACAACAACCAGTGAAAAATCAATGAATTGCAAAAACGTGCGTGAACCAAAAACAATCACTTTTAAAGAAAAATATCATCAGAAATCAGCAAAGTTTTGATGTCTAGTGAATAGAAAGGTCTGACTGCCTGAATATTAGCAAAATGAGAGGAATTTCATTTGAAAAACGTGTTTTGAAAACACTCTGTACGCAGCAATTTGTAAGCAAAACTTTTTTTTTAAATTGCCCTCACACCGCATGCAATTCATGTCCTAAAACATTCAATTTATCAAATAAATCTGAAAAAAACTGATATTGATTATTTCTGGAGCTATTTTATTAGAATTGTCTTCAACAATTGAAACAAGCGCGGATCCAAGATTTTTTTCTCAAGCGCGGATCCAAGATTTCTTCCAAGCGGATGATTTATGGCTCTTTTTCGTTTTGCCTTTCATTTGAATTTCCATTTTGAAGCTCAACTTCGTTATAATAAAATGAAGCTCTGCGTGATGATCAAACCAATTTGTGAACAGAATGATTCTTCATTTTTAAATCATAACTTAACGTATTCAGCCATAATAATACAAAGAACAAATTAAAAAATAGCAAATGCCTAATTCAGTGGAGAAAAGTAAAGGAAAAAATTATTTAAAAAAAACAATAAAGTTTTTAAATTAAATATTGTACCTCCCCGAAAAAGTATATATCTTATTTATAAAGGTGCAGTTTGAAAATTCTCAGAAATGGAAGCAGAAAAGGAAAAACGTTAAAAAAGTTTGTGAAACTGGGACCCTTTATATGGTCACAAAAGTTGATTTTTTAAAGAATGAAGCTCATGAAGAGCTCCCCAATAAATCCGCTTTTGAGGTACAAAATATTGTATTTTAATGACCAAAATAATTTAAAAAAAGAGTGAATTTGCTCGACTTTTCCCACCATGGTTCTTTATACTTTGAAATTTTGGAAACAAACTTAAAAATTCCTATTAAAAAAGAAAAAAAATTGTAAACAAAATTGAAATGATTTTTTTCTAACCACTAAGGGCGATCAAAAAAGGTAATTTATACATAAAATTAAATTTTTTATACATCAGTGAAGTTTTTGACTCCTTGAGTTCAAAGACAAAAACTAAACAAACTCCTAAAAATATGGAGGTTTGAAATTTTCCAGTTTTTTCATGTATTGGACAGGTTTATGCGAGTTTTTAAAAATTAAACCTTGATATGAAAGTCCATTATTGCTTTCAGTTGTCTCCATCACTCCGTTTATAGCTTGTACTATCATAATAAGGCCTTTAAGAGAAAACAAACAAAATTGAGAGCTGATAATTTTCAAAACTGTTTTTATCAATCAGCTTTCTTGCAAACTTTTTTTGAAAAATAATTAATTTTTTTAAATTAGATCACTAAAGAAACGGTTTATCTTTTTTGACTTACAGAGAACTAAAATCCTGATGTTGTTTAGCGCTAAAAATTTTTGTAGAATTGCGCTAGTTTTTAATGGGCAATCAAAATTATAACAATTTTAACTTACCCAACCACTATTATCGATTTTAACTATTTCTTTATCACCAGCTTTTGAAGTTACTGATTAATAACGTTACACATTGTCAATTTTTTTACAGTATTAGTTTCAAAGTATTTCTAAGCTTATAAGTAGCTTATGTTAGCATAGGTTATAGACTATCCGTTCATCACTCTATGTATTAACATAGCCTATAACCTATACTAATATATGGGGGTCATCAGCCCCCCTCGCTGATTTCATCCAACACATACTACACTCATAAGAAGATCTAAGGTAGGGAATTTTTTTGTAAGGTGGTCAGCCCTGGTGATATTTCTATTTAATATACAAGAGGAATAATCAATATTTAGTTTTGTTAGCTATGTAGACTTTTTAATAAGTTGTTCATAGAATAATTTTGAGACTTACTTGAGTAGATTCTGTTTTGTTGACTGAGGGAGGTTGGGGTTAATGCTCTCAATGTAAGAAGGCTGTTCTCCCTTCTCCTTCAGAAACATCGGGCGGCCTAAAATAAAGAAGCCGATTTTGAATCAAGAGCGCTCAGCGAATATGAAAAACTGATGCCGACAAAAAGTTAACAGAGAAAATGAACAGAAGCTGGAACTTGTTTTTGAACGCCTGATTTCGTTAACTCTAAGTAGCAAATTGTTAAAACCTGGATTCGATAATGGTCGTGATTCTTTTTTAATGAGTTCAGGCTCCAAGTTTTCTTTTTTAGGTAATTTAGGAGGGGGTGTGCTTTTAAAAGGATTGTCGGTTTAAAGTGACACGGCTTAATTGATCCTAATTGTTTTTTCAAAAATGAATAACAAATGAGAATTCAGAAAAAAAACTCTGAAATATTTTCTACTTTTTGAACAATTTATTTTTCAGAATATAAAAACAAAAATTTTTCTAAATGAAGCTTCTTAACTATACTTTGTTTTACCAGTATCAAGTTTTTAGCCGAAACAACCAACTTTACACGACGGCTAAACTCGCTCAAAAATTAACTAAAACTTTTTCAAGCCGGTTTTTGTCAACATTAGGTCATGTTTTTGAAAATTTTTGAATCAAGACTAGAAGGGCTCTGTTATGATATATAACTTGACCCATTAGCAGAAAATAAAGAAAAGAAAAGAAAAGAAGGAAAAAAACAAAAACAAACCCCAAGAAAAGTCCTCCCCATTTTTTCATCAGTCTTTAGGTGAGAAATAATGATAATCTGAGCTATTTTGGAACATAGTTTGCCATATGACGTTCGTTTACCATATGAGGTTTTATTAAACATAAACTTTTGGAAGGCCAAGATTCTCTCTAGATTTTCAGCCTTTAATCCAGACCGAAGAGTTAGACATAGGATCAAATTCTGTTTTAATTGACTTATTACTCATTGTTTTTTTCCCTTTTTATGCCATTACAGCCAACAAACAATTTTTTACATGGTTAGAAAAAATTTTTAAGTCACTTTCTGGAGAAAATTTTTTTGTTGCAAGATGAACTCTATGCTCGATCAAACAAACTTTAAAAAAGCATTCAAAAATTCTGCAATTTTGTCCTCATTGTAGTCTAGGCTGAACTTTTAGCTCAGATGAATCACAAATGACTATTAATTTTTCTAGATAAATCTAATTTTGATCTTTTCATGTTTCCATATGATAAGATAAAATAATTCGATAAAAATTTAGGCCACAAACTTCAATAATCAAGATTTTTTGGAGTGCAAATTTTCTGTGCCTATGAAAAAGTTACAGTTTCTTTAGTTATAATTCTGACTGAAATTTTTAACGAAGAACTCTCTCGGCAAATCGTCAAAAGCAGTTCCCCTTGGCGATTCTTGCCACTCAACTTAAGAGTTATCTTGCAAAACAGTAAAACTTAGTTATTGTCTTTTAGGGTATAACATAAATCGAAGCGAAAGTCCGGTGTTTTCCTAATTGAAAAAATCTCGTCAACAATTTTGATAAAAAGAAAAAAGGCTGTAATACAATTTCTGTACATGAAAAATGTCAATTGTTGAGTTTTCTTACAACTTTCTGTACGTATGGATTTGTAAGAAGATAATCAACCAAGAAAGCATAGTTTCAATTTGATGAAAAATTTGTAAAAAGAAAAAATTTGGAGTGAAAACGCGCATGTGAGACAAAACTAACTAAGTCACTCATCGGAAAGAAACTCCTTAAGCGCTGCTTCTCAAAGTCTGGATCACACTCCGAAAAACGACTGAGAAAAAATCGGTAGCAACAATTCGAGTGATGCTGCTGACCCAAAAAACTGCCAATCAATGTTCAAAAAGCTGCCAATCAATCCTCAGAAGCTTTTTTTGGCATTTGGCATTTTTGACATTTGTTGCTATGAGCTGTTAAAAGCATTTTTGATCAATCAGTTAAAAGGTCAGCAAAATTGCTAAGAACCCTAAAAATGACTTAAGCTTGTAGTTGTGATGATGCTTTTTTAAGGGCTTCTGATGTCTTGTCCTTCGACTTCCTTTGCCTTATTTTTCCAAATGAAAGAAAGAATTAAGTTCAAGATAAAAAAAAACGCCCGATTAGAAAGCCACAAAAAAGCAAGAAAGCTTCAACGGGAGTTTTGAATAGTATTTGGTATTTTATATACTCAAATAGGTTAGCTAGTTTAATTATTAGATGGAGGGGAATGTAGAGTAGGAATCCATTTTATTCTAAGATTTTTTTCATAGTTTTTTAATTAGATGTAAAGAAACTCACTCTTAGATTGTCAGATCATGATTAACCATCTACCAATGGAAGTGTAAGGTTGAGCTCTCTATTGGCAACCAGCTTTAGATCTGCTACAGCCAATTTTGGCTGCATTAGGGGCACCTCCTCAAAAACTGACATTAAAATTTGACTAAGATTAGAAAAAAAAGTTTCGCTCAACAAAAACTACTGTTAATACGCAGGAAACTATCACTTAACAAAACTTTGTATAGAGCAGGATAGAGAGTACGCCCAAATAACTCATAGAAGTTACTGATAGTAGAATTAAGACAACTGTTTTTATCAGGGAGGAACTCTGAAAGTTCCGACTGCGTTTTTATTTCTATGAAGTAATTTGAAATAAAATGATGGATGAAACTTTCAAAAAAGAAAAAATTTCCAAAAGTTTTTGATGTTTTTTAAATAATATTTACCCAACACGCTATGTAAAGTAGAAAAAGATATACTTCGCATGAAGCAAAATGTTAAATAGACCAAAAAACATACCTCAATTCAATTTGAAAGAATTTCTAACACGGATTGAATCTTCTCTAACGCGTTAATAGCGCAAAATATATCGAACGTAATTGATCAAAAGTGGCCAAAATGGAAGTTTTAAACCCCCATAATTTTACGAAAATTGATCACAGGTAATAATGCTTTTTTTCTTTGAGCTCATAACAACATAACCTTTCGAGTGATAAAAAAAGAGACAAAAACTACAATGAGCACAATTATTACCAACAAACTGCGTTTTTAAAACTAAAGTGACATAGCTTTTCCGCCTTGTTCACTTTATTTCTCGAGCAGCTTTTTCAATTTAAGTTTTTTTTTAGTTCCATGTGGAAAAACTTGTAGGCTAGTACGTTGCTGCTTTGAACTATCCAGACAAAACTACTGAAATTCTAAACTTCAAATGCTTTTCTCTAATGGGATTTCATTTTGACAAAGAGTACTGACAACATAGGTTGTTAATTTCTTTTTAACAATTTAATTTCTTTTTAATTTCTTTTTAATTGCTTATATTTTCGCATAAATTGGATTCAATTCCCCACAACCAATTGGTTCAGTTTTATTTAATCAAATTTTAGGCGATAACTGAAGCGTCATTTGTTCTCCACAATTTATTAAATCCAACAAAATTGAGAAATCCTTGATCTCCAACAAAGTACGCAAGCTTTATAATTCGTTTTCGAACTCAACCCCATGCCACCCAAATTGTCGTCCTTTGTTCGTACTCTTTTGCAACGCTCATTTTGGTCGACAAATTCTATAGCAATTCTTTGATAGCATGGGCTAACATTGTGCACCAATTTTACGAGGGTTGAAGTGAAAAAATTATTATTTGGTCAGAGATATTTGGTTCTCCCAACATTGTACAGTTCAAAATTCACGCATGGAACTCGAGTGGAATTCCTCTTATAGTTACTGCCCGGGTCGTGGCTTTGGTTTTATGATCAAACGAATGCGACTAATTTTGATATTTCCAGACTGCTGCGAAGGAAATTGGATATTTTCAGACCACCGCAACCAAAATTTGGTATTTCCAGACTTTGCAGACCCACGCAATGTGACGCGACCGGCGCGACCAAATGAAAGTTAACCGTGACCAGCGCGACCGGAAAAAAATGTCCGCGACCGGCGCGACGGAAGAAAATATTAGGGTAATCGGCTTAACCGAAGATATTGAACAGCACTCGGGAAAAAATGACTGCAGAAAAACGTTTCCAAAGTGTTTGACGCAGTTGAAACAATCGACTGAAAAATTTTTCAGCCATAAAAATAAAGAAAAAAAATGATTGATAAAAACAAGGAAGCACTCTCAACTCCTGTTGAATAAAACACAAGGCGGATAATTTATTGAGAATAAGCAATTAAGAATAAGCAATTAAACTATGTTTAGTCACACTACATCATTGATTTTCAGGCTTAGGCAACTGCATCACGTTAGTTCGAAGCACTTTGATTGACATTGAAAAAGTCGTAAGCTTGTGTCAAATAAATTTATTCAGTAGCCATTCTTTTATTTTGTAGTTTTTAAAATTTTTTTGGCGACCCGTTATTCACTCACACTTTATAAGCCAGACTGCTCGTGTCAGGGCGATACTCTGTATGTTCCAACAGCCCTTCAAGGTGTTTGAGGTAGTGTTTCTTTTAGAAAATTTGGCGAAGCTTTTTTCAGTTTTTTTGCAAAAATCATCCTCCCACACGCAATTTAAAGTATACAGCAAAACATGTAACATATAGCAAAGTATTTAATAGATGAATTTGCACGCCTCAATTCAATTTGAAACAATTTTTAAGCTGGAGTAAATCTCCGCACAAACGTTAAACGCTCTAAATTTATTGCGCGTTGATTATGCGCGAAAAAAAAAACAACTCGAGCACCAATATTCCGTCTCTTTCTTGGAAAGCTGGAACAATTATATTCAATAAATATTTGCGCTAATATTTAAATTAGTATCCCGGAGTACAATTATGCGAGATATCCAGTTGCGTTTTTTCAATTTTTTTGTTGAATGTAAACTTGCTAATATGTTCTCATTACATTTTTCAGATCGGTAATATTACATTTTTTGAATAAGTCGACTTGAAAAAACCACTTATAAAAAATTATCGTTATAAATATAATTAGTAATAAATAGTATGACCGTATTCTGATAATTTTTGCACTCAACTATTATCGTTTTTTAATGTGATTGTTGGCATAAAAATCTTGCGTTTTTATTGTTATGACTAACATGATTGTTGTTTTGTTCTGACTTTTGAAGAAGGTGATGAATTTATATGCTCGGTTTTTTGGACCTTTTTTTAAAAAACCTTCACTCTGAATATCGATCCCTGGAGCTTCGTGGACACAACTATATTAACCTGACACATTTTTGTTTGTTTCATATAGTGGTAGACCATCATGCTGAAGGGCCAAAAAGGTGAAAGCAATACCATTCGGACAAGCCGAAAAAAAAATTCCATTCAACATAACAACAGATTGTCACTTTTTTATGCAGTTTTCACATATTGTTGATGTAATTCACGTTTTTCTGATGTATTTTTGGCTTCAAGACAGTAATTTGTAGATATGGCGTTTTTTTGAGCGCCCTCCGTTAATACTTTGATGCTGATAGTGTTACTCGCATTTTTTACGCACGGCGAATTATACAGAACTGCAAATTGAGCAATAGCCTTGAATAGAGCAAGACACCACAGGCTAATAAAAATCGAAGTACTATTGGCAGTCGGAACATTCAGGGCTTTGCCTTAATAGATGCAGTTTTGTTACTAATAAACTGTAACTAAAGGGAATTTTTTTATGCTTATCTTTCGAACAGTTTTTACTATTGTAGAGAATTTTTTTCTATCAAGTTATGGTTTTTTTAGAGGGCTGATTTTCGAAAATAAGAAACTCAAAATTTTGTCGGGCGTTTTATAGGGTGAACAAAGATATCCCAAGGCACTAAAAAGACCCTATTTTAACCAAATTCAAATTTTTTTCCTGCGCTGAATTCAAAGTTTTTGCGCCGAAATCTGCGCAACGTTTTTCGTTATATTTTGGGCTGCTACCCCCTAAAAATTATTTTACATTGGTGCAGTAGGAGCTTTTAGAAAATTTTTTGGATCAGGCAGCCAAAAACTGACGCTTGCTGAGAAAACTTTATTTGCATGTGAACCGGTTCACGATAAAGTAATTTGAATTATATCAAATTTTTCAATGGTTGATTGGTCTGGTCAAAAACAAAACTGAGAGTTTTTTACGAATCGATTCAAACTATGCAATAACACGGAAATTTTCAAAAGTCTAATAGATTGAATTGCTGGCTCATAAAGGTTTTGCAAACCGGTTCAAGTTGAAATCCAGTGAAAAATTCAAGTATTCAAAGTATCTTTGGAGCCGATTAATTTTTTTCGAGCCGATTGATTAATGGAGCCGGGCTTGCTAGCTTAATTTAAACCAACAACACAGTTGGCGGTTATTTGAAAAATTTGTCATAAAATAGTTCCATAGTGGGATCCTTTGGGTAGTCCTGAGGTCGAATCCCTGAGGGGGGAAGCATCAATCCTGATTAGTAGTGTTTTTGAGCGATTATACTTTTAAATACATACTGTTTTCTTTTCTTTTTTTTCAATAAAGACCCCCACCTGAACTCAAGTCTCCAGCTGACCCACTCTCTTCGGTCCCCTCTTCCTCGTTTTCGTCCTCCGGGATGATCTCCAGGAAGTTGCTGTTCTCATTGGTTGAGGAGGTGGGGCTGTGAATAAGGGTTACCACTTCTGCCATTATATTCAAATTGACCCTTTTTTCTTTTATCCTGCGCTGAAACATAACATGTGAAGTTTAAGGCGCACAGACAATTCGGCCAAAGACAATTCAACCAATTGGAAATTCAGACAATTCAGCCAAAAGTATACAGACAATTCAGCCTGAGACAATTCAGCCAGTTTTTCTAAGCGCTAGAATCGAAAGAAAAAGTGGAATTGGAGTTATTTCTCGGCTAAAGGCCGCCGGTAGTCGCGCTACGCGCGCGTCGCCGCTTTGCTGCGATAACCGGCTTCAAATTCTGTAAAGAGTCCTATAACCTCTGTGGGCAAGCGCGCAACACGTTGGCACGCCTGCTTCGGTCACTATTATTGGCTGAATTGTCTCTGGCAGAATTTTCTGCATACTTTTGACTGAATTATCTGAATTTCATATCGTCTGAAATGTATTTGGCCAAATTGTCTTGACTCGGAAATTTAAGTATGTCGAGCTCGGTCTTCAAAATGAAAAGTATAAATCCAGGTTTTTATGCGCTGGTTTTTGTTGTTCGGTTCCAGGTTTTTATCCAGGTTTTTATGTTCGGTTCAAAATGTGTCCGAACTAAACTTAATTATTGCGTGCAGTTAGCAAAAGTTTTTTTAAATATTTAATTCTTATTGTTTTTTGATGGGAATTTCTAATGTCACCTCGAAAAAAAATCTGCTAACTCATTATTTTTTCCAGTTGTACGAGGACACTTTTCGTGAACAGCGAGTAATATTTTATCCAAAAATCAAATAGTTTTGAAAAGAAAATATTTTGAATTTAGAACCTAAATTAATTTGAAAACAAACTAGCTCACAAAAAAACTAAAACAAAAACTCAACAAACATTTGTTCGTCATAAAATACAAAAAAAATTCTAATTTTATAAAAAAACTAATTTTACCATTTTTTCAATGTCATAGGTAATTTTGTGAAAATTCAGCCAAAAGTATACAGACATATCAGCCTGAGACAATTCAGCCAGTTTTTCAAAGCGCTAGAATCGAAAGAAAAAGTGTAATTGGAGTTTATTCTCGGCTTAAGGCCGCCGGTAGTCGCGCTACGCGCGCGTCGCCGCTTTGCTGCGATAACCGGCTTCAAATTCTGTAAAGCGTCCTATACCCTCTGTGGGCAAATGCGCAACACGTTGGCACGCCTGCTTCGGTCACTATTATTGGCTGGATTGTCTCTGGCAGAATTTTCTGCATACTTTTGACTGAATTATCTGAATTTTATATCGTCTGAAATGTATTTGGCCAAATTGTCTTGACTCGGAAATTTAAGTATGTCGAGCTCGGTCTTCAAAATGAAAAGTATAAATCCAGGTTTTTATGCGCTGGTTTTTGTTTTTCGTATTCGTAAAATTTGTTTGAAAGGAGATTGTGATCGAAATTTGTCTTCTCGAAGTTAAGAAAGCGAAGTTTAAAAAAATCCTTGAGTACAAGCAGATTTGTAACATGAATTAGCTCCAAAAATTTTGCACCAAAAATAACGAACGCTTCAATGGTCTTATGTTTTCATCTGAAGTAAGTTGTTTTTATTTGATATGAGGTTTTGAAGATTTGTGAAAAAACACTGCATGCATTCAAACTCTGAGAGTGGATTTGCTGTGAGTTGCATAGGTCTCAAAAATATCAGTTTTTCCTGCTTTAATTAAACTGTTGTTTAAAGTCGGCGTGTTTATAAAAACTTGAATGGTTGGGAGCAACTAAAGCATAGGAGGATTTTTTTCAACGATTGCTTGCTTAAAAATAATTGAGCACAGTATCATAACTATAAGTAAATAATTGGAACCCATATTTCACAATAAATGGCGAGTCAGTTCGGTTTGTAGATGATCCAGTACAAAACAGATGAGCAGCTAATTCTCACGCCTAATTCTACTTGATCCTCTACTAAGATAAGCTATTAATATGTTCTTATCGACTTACATTGCTTTTCACTAAAACAGATGAAAAAAGTTTAAAAAAACCAAAGATTGAAAAATTTGAGACATAAGTTTTTTATCATGTAGTCTTAAGTTTTTTTTTCATTTTAGAGACTTTTTTCAAAATCTTGATGCCGGAAACTTTTTTACTAGATTTTCTGATGTTGCTAGCTACTTAGAACCAGTAAATTTGTCATTTAATTCTCTTCAGTTGTTTTTAAATTTTTGATTTGATCACAGTATTTTTTTCTTTGCAATAAAATTTTTCAACAAAATGTGCTGCGTTCTTGCTTTGACAACATAATTACGAGAACTAAAATTCTCAGTCTATCTTTTTACTGATAAAGTGTTTAAGTGATTTTTATTCAAAACACTTTGTTTTTACCCTTTGGAAATGTTCGGTTCAAAATGTGTCCGAACTAAACTTAATTTTTGCGTGCAGTTAGCAAAAAAATTTTTAAATATTTAATTCTTATTGTTTTTTGATGGGAATTTCTAATGTCACCTCGAAAAGAAATTCTGCTAACTCATTATGTTTTCCAGTTGAACGAGGACACTTTTCGTGATTAGCGAGTAATATTTCATCCAAAAATCAAATAGTTTTTGAAAAGATAATATTTTGAATTTAGAACCTAAATTAATTTGAAAACAAACTAGCTCACAAAAAAAAACTAAAACAAAAAACTCAACAAACATTTGTTCGTCATAAAATACAAAAAAAATTCTAATTTTATAAAAAAACTAATTTTACCATTTTTTCAATGTCATAGGTAATTTTGTGAAAATTCAGCCAAAAGTATACAGACATATCAGCCTGAGACAATTCAGCCAGTTTTTCAAAGCGCTAGAATCGAAAGAAAAAGTGTAATTGGAGTTTATTCTAAGCTTAAGGCCGCCGGTAGTCGCGCTACGCGCGCGTCGCCGCTTTGCTGCGATAACCGGCTTCAAATTCTGTAAAGCGTCCTATACCCTCTGTGGGCAAATGCGCAACACGTTGGCACGCCTGCTTCGGTCACTATTATTGGCTGGATTGTCTCTGGCAGGATTTTCTGCATACTTTTGACTGAATTATCTGAATTTTATATCGTCTGAAATGTATTTGGCCAAATTGTCTTGACTCGGAAATTTAAGTATGTCGAGCTCGGTCTTCAAAATGAAAAGTATAAATCCAGGTTTTTATGCGCTGGTTTTTGTTTTTCGTATTCGTAAAATTTGTTTGAAAGGAGATTGTGATCGAAATTTGTCTTCTCGAAGATAAGAAAGCGAAGTTTAAAAAAATCCTTGAGTATAAGCAGATTTGTAACATGAATTAGCTCCAAAAATTTTGCACCAAAAATAACGAACGCTTCAATGGTCTTATGTTTTCATCTGAAGTAAGTTGTTTTTATTTGATATGAGGTTTTGAAGATTTGTGAAAAAACACTGCATGCATTCAAACTCTGAGAGTGGATTTGCTGTGAGTTGCATAGGTCTCAAAAATATCAGTTTTTCCTGCTTTAATTAAACTGTTGTTTAAAGTCGGCGTGTTTATAAAAACTTGAATGGTTGGGAGCAACTAAAGCATAGGAGGAGTTTTTTCAACGATTGCTTGCTTAAAAATAATTGAGCACAGTATCATAACTATAAGTAAATAATTGGAACCCATATTTCACAATAAATGGCGAGTCAGTTCGGTTTGTAGATGATCCAGTACAAAACAGATGAGCAGCTAATTCTCACGCCTAATTCTACTTGATCCTCTACTAAGATAAGCTATTAATATGTTCTTATCGACTTACATTGCTTTTCACTAAAACAGATGAAAAAAGTTTAAAAAAACCAAAGATTGAAAAATTTGAGACATAAGTTTTTTATCATGTAGTCTTAAGTTTTTTTTTCATTTTAGAGACTTTTTTCAAAATCTTGATGCCGGAAACTTTTTTACTAGATTTTCTGATGTTGCTAGCTACTTAGAACCAGTAAATTTGTCATTTAATTCTCTTCAGTTGTTTTTAAATTTTTGATTTGATCACAGTATTTTTTTCTTTGCAATAAAATTTTTCAACAAAATGTGCTGCGTTCTTGCTTTGACAACATAACTACGAGAACTAAAATTCTCAGTCTATCTTTTTACTGATAAAGTGTTTAAGTGATTTTTATTCAAAACACTTTGTTTTTACCCTTTGGAAATGTTCGGTTCAAAATGTGTCCGAACTAAACTTAATTTTTGCGTGCAGTTAGCAAAAAAATTTTTAAATATTTAATTCTTATTGTTTTTTGATGGGAATTTCTAATGTCACCTCGAAAAGAAATTCTGCTAACTCATTATGTTTTCCAGTTGAACGAGGACACTTTTCGTGAACAGCGAGTAATATTTCATCCAAAAATCAAATAGTTTTTGAAAAGATAATATTTTGAATTTAGAACCTAAATTAATTTGAAAACAAACTAGCTCACAAAAAAAACTAAAACAAAAAACTCAACAAACATTTGTTCGTCATAAAATACAAAAAAAAATTCTAATTTCATAAAAAACTAATTTTACCATTTTTTCAATGTCACATTTTTCAAGTAACATCCCAAAAAAAATTCAAAAAAACAACTCGGTGTTTTAATCAGTACTTTAAAAAAATTCTTCCAAGAGCTAATAAAAATTGGAAGAGTAGAGATCATAAATGATATGACTGCCCATTTCTCATTCTGCTTGCGAAACATTGCAACGAATCTTTTTTTACTCTTTTATCACATCCGCTTTTTGCATCAAACTAGTTTTTTTTTCGTTTCAGATAGCTGTTGGCTCGAAAAAAAAGACAGTTTGTATCAGGACAAAACCTATTTTTTGTACGAATTAATTTTCGGAAAAAACGCGCAAAAGTTTTGGAAACTTTTTTTTTAAATCTTTTCCCAAAAATCTTAACCGCCCACGCATTGACAAAAACTCTTCAATGGAAGTGTTTACCTTCATAAATTTATTCGCCACCCATGCAATGCATTTAGAGATATTTTTGCACAAACTATTTTTCTTAAATAGACAAAAATGACAATTTTGAAAGCTCAACTTTTTGGTCGCAGAAAGAAAATTTCTATTATGCGCTCAATGCATCAAAATCAATCAAGTTACATGGCAAAATGTTATATGTTTTCAGTTTGAAGGGAGAAACATTTTTGAGCACGAAAATACCAAAACGAGCAAAAATTTTCCGCCAACTCCTTTCAAAGTTAAGAATAAAAGCACAAATTAGTTTTTGTAAGAGTTCCTTCGTTGTGACTTTCGAAAAAATATGAAATATTTATGGGGATTTTATCTATTGAGACCTTTTTTGATTTTTTAATTTAGCATTATTGACTGAAATAGTCGAGACCATCGGAAAGATATCTCTTGAGCTCAAGTTTGTTTTTTGTCTTTTTTTTGAAGCCAGCGGTTTGATTACAGGACTATATTGGCCAACTCTCGATAATTGAGAACGATGAATATACAAATTATTTTAGGCAATGGAAATATGCAATTAAATATTCAGCTATCTAAACTGAAACGAGTTGCGCTATCTGATGCAAAGAAGTGATTATAATTTTTTAAATCCTAGACTCTAACCAAATTTTGGTCCAAACGCCTTTTAACGGATCGTAAAAACTTTGCTCTGACGCTATCTGTTTGGTCCAATCCTTGACCCAAAATTTCACAAAAAAGGCCAGAAAAAATGATACGTATATATTTGAACATTTTCGCATTGCTGAACAAAAGATAATTTTTGTTCATAGAAGAAGCTCAAAACCAGTTTTGGTTGATTTTCATTGTAGCCTAACAGGTCTGTTAACAAAAATCTTAATGATCTCCAATCATACAAACCTGATAAACTTTTTAAATCAATTTTCTAAATTTTCCATGCACTAAGTTATTCGCTCACACAATGAGAACTGAAATTGATTGCATAAACAAACCAGTGTACTTAAGTTTTTCTTTTTTCTCATTTCCAGAACCCCAATTTTAATTAACTCCGAGTTTAGCGAAAACACCTTGCTTGAATGAAAAACAATTTCTAAACTAAAAAACGCATGATCGAGCATCAGATATAGAATAAAAATTTTAAGTAAGACACTTGAAAATTTGTGATTGTAATGTATGTATTTAAATTGCGAAACAAAACAGGCTTATTGCGCCCGTTTTCTTTTTCTAACAGAGAGCTTAGAACAGTTCACTGAAGATTTTATGATCTATGAAGTTAAAACTTCATTGTTTTTACTAGCTTTGAATAACAAAAAAAATGAAAAATATTTACTGACACTTCTCAGCTAAGTTTGTTTAGAACGCAAAAAAATTAAGCCCTGTTTTCTAGACACTGACATTTTTTCAGTCAATCGTATTATTCTTCATACTTAAATTACCCATCGTTGAATTATCTTGACTGGAGAAGTTTGAACATCGAAGTTAAATTCAAACAAAACTGCTCGTGTCAGCGAGATTCCTTGAATGTTCCGACTACCTTTTAAAGTCTATGGAACACTAATAAAATGAAAAAAAAAGTTAATGTAATAAAATTAAAATTAATATATTTTTTAATTTGAATTTTTTTGTAAGAATCATCCCCCCACACGCCTTATAAAGTACAAAGTGATAAATTTTGCTTCTACTAACAAATCAATTATGGCATATGAGCTTCCTTCAACCAATTTGGAACGATTTCTAAGACTGATTAAATTTCCGTTTACGCGTTAATAGCGCGAAAAATATCGCGCGTAAGTTGTCCCAAATTAGCCAAAATAGCAATCTTTAAACCCCAATAACTTTATCAAAAATGATCACAGGTAAAAAAATATTCAAAACTAAGCTCAGTACATCAATACCTTTTGAATGATTTTTAAAATTTTAGTCAAAAATGGCTAGTTAAAAAGCCGAATTTTGTCTGAAGGAAAAAAAAACCACCCCGAGCACAAATATTCCGTTATTTTCGTATCGAAAGTCGGAACAAAAATGTATATTTCGAAGAAACGCACTAAATAAATTGAACAGCAACACATGGTTAAAAGGATGATAGCTGTATACTGTTAATCAACAGAAAAAAATTTGAAAATTTTTCACAAAAAAAGAACAATTGAGGTGAAATTGTGTAAGTTCAATTTTTGATTTTTTCCCACTTATCATTTTGGGTGAGAAAAAAGTGTATGATCGATCTAACTTTTTTGAAATTTTAATATTATGACTGAATCACGATATATAAGGCCTCAATTTTATATATCACTCAACCCATTCTGATAATTGTTTGCAGCACTTGATTAAGTCAGGAGGCGTAAATTCGTAATAAACGACAGTTGCAACTTGTAACGGGCAACAGTTGAAAACAGGCAAAAATCGTAATAGTAATTGAAGTGGCAAACACTGATCCGTGCTCACTTTTCCTCTCGTGCCCAATGTAAGCTTATCGGAGCAAATCGGAGCAATCTGTGGCTATTTGATAATGCCTTCCTTATTACGAATTGTCACTACTTACAATTTTTTGCCTGATACCAAATGTCGCCCAAACAAAATGAACACAAGAGAATGATACACGGTATGTTTAGACTCCTAGCTCAGCTTTTACTGAGTTTCATTCGAAACTCGCTTAGACGAGTGTTCTTTGCTATAACAAACATTTAACCGAAATAATTATATTTCTTCTCAAAATTTGCAGCAAGAAGTCTTAAAAGTCTATTGCCTATTTCTTGAAATTTGTTTCAAAACAGACATGGATTTGATTCCTTGGTTCTTTCACTCAATGGATTCTAAGTGACTTACCCTTTCGAGTGGATGTTCTTTTCTTCAGAATAATTGCTTGTGACGGATCAAATTTGTCTAAGGATAAAAGGTCTCCTTTTTAAGGATAAAAGGTCTAAGGATAAAAAGTCTCAACAACTCGAGTTTAAAGGTGCCATTCAATATCAAAGAAAACTCGACGTACAAAAGCCAGCTTTTTTAAATCGTGAATTAAACGACTGCCACTGCGTATATACACAAAAAATATGTTTATCTACTCTAATACATACAATATTCTAAAACAAATCTTGCGTCAATTTCTACCAACAAATGCATTAAAATAAATTTGAAGCAGAGAATAAAATAAAAAACAAAAAGAGCGGATTAGAGGATTAATTATAATTTTATTGTTAAGCGGAATGTTTTTTAAACTGTGTAAGTGGAGGATAGAACTTCGCTTCATTCATTTGATTAGAGTTTTCCATACTACAAATTGAAGAAACAACAAGTAGAAAATAATAGAGTTTTCTAAACTACAAATTGAAGAAACAACAAGTAGAAAATAGAGTTTGTTTGGGTGGTGATATTGAGTTTTTTCGGCACTGTGAGAGAAATTCGAAGTATAATTTCAAAATTGGAAAGAATATAATTATAATTTGAAATTATAATTAGAAATTAAAGAAAAGGAGTTGTCAACAGGTGTTTATAATTTTGTTTATGTTGTATCTGAAATTTTCCAGAGTTTTAAATGTACGGTCTTCAGTTAGCACGGCACTATTTAAATTAACATAACAATAAATTGATTTTTTTCTGGTATAGGATAATTCCGTTTGCACAAACAATATTCAAAAAATCGACATTACATCATTTTACCATCAACCCCAATCAATGATCTAAACCAAATGCGTTTCAATTATTTGAAAGATGATTAAGAAAACTACTCAAAAACAATCAGGGCAACCAACTCAGCATATTTTCAACCATTTGTAAAACTTTGATAGAAAAACACATATTGAAAGTAGTGATTTAAAGTTATATAACTTCAGTACCGATGATGATGCAAGGTTAAAGATGCTCGCTAGATCGATGTGCTCTTTGAAAATAAAATACGAAATTAAATATATTTTTTTCCAGTTTCATCTCAATTTACAAATCTTCTTCATCGTTTTTGTCTTCCATGCTCAGTCTATTTCTCGATAGGTTCGCATGTTGCAGTCCTTGTTTCTTTTTAGCTCTGCTGTTTGTTCTAGAAAATTCTAGATGGGGCGTGTCTGGTCTGCTTGATGATTGTGTATGGTGTGATGATGTGTACCTATCCTGTTGTTGTCTGCGTAGTATAGAGACACATTCTTCCACTCTGTCTCCGATAATGCACATCTAAGAAATATAATAATTATACTAACCATGATGATAATAAAACTAATATTGTTAATAGAAACATTACGAGGCCAAACTGTGTTCCTGGATTCCAGAGACAAGTCTTTAAATATGTTCCAAAATGTAAATGGATTCCACTCACAAAACTTCCGTGAATTCCGCGCACAAATACCTGTATATTCTGTCGGCACATTAGTTTTGATGCGGACCCCGCAACAGGCGAATATAGTTAGGAGTTCCGGATTCCGAAAATGGAAGCGGATTCCGCAAATGCAAGTGCATTCCTCACATTTATGCGGATTCTGCTTGCAATTTGTAGATTCCACTTACAGTTGCGGATTCCACGACAGCTTAAGTTTACTTAACTCATATACTATTATTTGCTCATGGATTCCACTAACTGTTCCACATTTCGCAATATTTATAGCGGATTCCACAAATTTTGTTGCGCATTCCGTAAAGTTGCCTGTTTTTGGAGCAATATTTGAAATACAGTGTTTTAGCTATTTGTCCGTAGAATCCAAAACAGCAAAAAATATCATATAAAAATATCAATGTTGTAGAATCCGCTTACAATTCACAAAATGAACAGTTAGGCCGCATAATGAATAATAAGCATCATAATCATCATATTCGCAAAACTAATACGCATAAAATCATTATAATATTTATAGTATTAATCATAACAATCAAAACAAAAACATAAAAATCATAATACTCATCATAATATCGTATCAATAACTAATTATGATAATATTATCATAATAATTATGACAAAAACATTTGTATTAATATTCATAATAATAGGAAATTGTTTCCAATCTACCATCCAAGCATAGTTATGGGCCAACATAACTATGACTAGCTCATCATTTACTCGATTAAAAATATGAAGAGTGTGAAATATAAATCTACAAATTTGTATGATTAGTAGCAAAACAATAGTAGTGACAGATTTAGTTAAAAAGGATAATCAATTAATTTGATTTTGGTGTGTTTTTGCATGAAAAAACTAGTTTTCAGACAAGTTTAAGGTCTAATGATTAACTCAAAATATATTATATTGCATGAATATTTTGTTCAAAACTGGCAGATTACTCTTTTCTCTTCTCCCTCTATTACCCTCGAGTGAAAATCTTTTTTCTAATAAGCAAATTTGATAAAGAGGTTTATCGCTGGGTTTAAAATACCCGACTCACTAGCTAGACAACCTAAATTGAGATTAAGTTGCATCCTTTGGCTTAAGAGGCTTAAGGACGCTTACTTATTCAAAAAATGTGGGAAAAAAAAACGTGCCAAAAAAAAGCGCGGCACTCTTTGTAAAGCCTTTTCAAGTCATTTCAAGTACTTCTTAGATTCGAACATAGATTTTCAAACACAGTCGCTAAAAATAACCTTTTTGAAACTAGATTAGCAACTGTTGCTTAGAGTTTTTTTGATTTGTTTGCAGCTAGTTAGGTGTTTCTTGAACAAACTAGCTTGTCTCATGTTGAAACTTTCTTTATTCGCAAATTAATTTGTCGCGTATGATTTGCCAAGGAAAGAATGGAAGTTGAAAGCGCCTTTTTGAGAAAAAGTATTTTTTTTAGAAAGCATAAATAAATTACCTCATAAAAATAGCAAGATTGATGTTTTATTAGTTGTAGAATAATTTGATTAAATTGCAGAAGCACTGGTAATAAGCTTGAATCATTCATGTTTTATTACTTGATTTATTAAAATAATTCTAAGAAATTTTGGCAGTCTTAAACTATTCAAACCACTTTTCAGTGCGTTTGATAGAAATTTATACATTAAAAGATAAACCAATTATTTCATCAACATAAACAAAATAGTTTGCCAGCCAAAACCGCTTTTTTCACCGGTTAAAATTTCTCCAACTTCTTTTGCGATTTTAAAAAATATATTTCGTAAGAAATTGCTCAGTGTCTAGAAAATCAAGTATGTACCTGGTTTTTGACTCAAATTGCATCACGGCTAAAATCAGGGATTAAAAAAAACAATTTGTTTTGCTGTTTGTTTTTTTATTGCTATTCATGTCTAACTCTAGAAGTTCTTTTAAAAACGGCTAAAAATGAACCTTAAAGAATCGAAAAAAATTTTGCATGTTTTTTTTCCTATTTAGCCAACTTATAGGCCAATTTGCTATTTGTGTTTTTTGTAGCTGTATATGCCCAATTCTAAAGCTCTTTCAAAAACGGCTAAGAAAACTTTTCAAAAAACTGAAACCTAAGTTTGATATTTTCGTGCACCAGCAGTTTTGGTGCAATGCAACCGTCGTTGCTCATATGTCAATGTCTACCGTTCAAAATGAGTTACTCAGTTTTCTTCACAGGGTTGAACTTAGCCAACAAACAGTTGAAAAAAAGTCAATAAACGCAGAGAAACGAAAAAAAAATAGCTATTTTTGAAAAAGTTTTCCAATATCAAAGTTTGAAGAAAATCTATGCCATTAAAGAAGTTTGAATTTTGAAATTTTTTTATGATATGTGCTTTTTCGGTTAAAAAAACCCAAAACTGGATTAATTAGTATTATTTTTATTCCGCTGGGGTACTTATCAGTTAAGTTCCACTTTCCAACGCGAGAATGCTCAATTGATCCTAAAGCAAAATTGCACTATCATTGAGCTGTTGACGTTAAAGCATCACAGGTTAAGACGATTTTTATTTTGATATAAGAATTAAATTAATCCTTCTTTTTTTTCAGGCGAAGACAAAGTGACATGTTTCCGAGTAGGGGTCGGGATTGTGTCCAACAACTTCTTCTCAGTGTGTGGGACAAAAGTGTTCAGAAAAGTGAGCAACGCGCCACTAAAGATAGCCAATCTACTGGTCGCAATATGCGGACCATATCCACCACTAGAAGGTAACTTGAGGCTAATTTCCACGAAATATAGTACAAAACATAGCCAACTGACAGTTGGAAAAGAGTAACGAACGCAAGAAAACCGAAAAAAAAGCCGACTGAATTTTTTCAAAAATCTTCAATTTTTGAATTTCGAATAAAAAATTAGCTCTTTGAATTTGTAAAACTTTTAATGATGACACGTTTTTTTTTAAATTAACCCAAATTGAGAAAACTGGATCTATAGGTTAAACTTTTATTTCGCTGGGAAATCTGATAAATAATTTCCATTATTGAAATTAGAAGTCGATCACATTTTTTCGTGACTTTTTCAATTTTGCTGTTCGATAATGGAGTTTGTCTTTCTTTTGACAATAGAAACGCACTGAATTTTAAAAACAATATGAGGTCAAACCGCGAAAAATCAAAATTGAGCGTGAAAAAATTTTAAGACCTCGTTCCTGGAAAAAAAAGTCTCCAAGAACTATATAAGAGACTTCACTTCGTTCATCGACTCTTCGTAACTCGAACTCACATCGGTTCTGCATTGCACTATAATTTATATCAGAAATTTCGAACAACGCAAATTTTTTGTCATCTCAATCAAAATACGATTTCAAAAAAGTAAATTTGCTTTCGAGAGACAAGCTCTCACGCCTCTAGCTTCACATCTACCACAGCCTGATCAATATGGCAGCACAATCGGTACCACCTGAAAGTTCTAGACACCAAAAAAACGTCCTTCAATTGCCAAAAAAAACGAGCTCCACGCAACGAAACAACTCAGACAGAAACCACAATTCTTGTGATTATTATTAAGTCAGTCTTTGTAGTAAGCGTCATTTAAAACCCAGTAAAAGATCGTATACTTTTAATCTGTCAATCAAGGTTCAATCACATTGTCATTGCCCACAATTATCTCACTTTGGAGGAATGTTTTCACTGAATGAAGTTTCCTTTTTGTGATTGAGCATTAAAAAAATACTTCAATCTTTTGAGACTGAATTTCTAATTTTTTTTCTGTTTAATAGTTTTTTTTGAAACATTTGAGATTGGTTGTTCAATTTGATTGTTTTTCAGTAATACCGATAACGTTGATATGTTGAAGTGCTTATATTTATTTTAATTTTTGGGAAATCCCCATAGCTAAAAAAAGACTTGCCAAATATTTGTATTTAAATTTTTAACTTAAATTTTTTTAAACAAAATCAATTTGGGTTTTTAGTTTGTGCGATAATTTTACCTGCGTCTCGAGTCTAGAGAGTCGAGCTATAGCACAGTTTTTGTAGCGACCATCGTTGTACGCAGCTGAAACACAATTAATTTGTAATCTGTGAAAATTTAACCTATTGAGAAAAAATTTATTTAACTTTTCTCTCTTTTCATGTGTTATCATGGCTAAATGCGGGAGGTTACGACGAAAAGTGTAATGAATAAACTTCCTTTCATAGCCACAACATTCGAATAGTTTTCCATAATGAAATTCAAATTTGGGGAAATTGAGGTGGGGGCGGGTGGTGGGGGGGGGGAGTGGAAAGGAGGTTTTAAATTATCTGACACACTATAGTTTTCACCTCTTCATGACGGTGCTGTATATATTAGGCAAAAACTATAGGCGAAAATAAAATTGTTAAATTTGGGCGAACGTTTTGATAATAAAAGTGTATATTTTAGCAAAAATCCCCTAATTTTCCCGACGACATTGACAAGAAGTGGTTGGTTAAAAACTACAAAGCCGTTCCCGCACTTAAGTTTCATGGATAATAATCAATTATATTGGATTTTCATTGTCAGTCTCTACAAAATAACAAAAATAATCGATTATAATCGATTGAAAATGGATTATAATGATAATATTTTCTTAAGCAATAAAATGCCAATATAATCGATTATAATCGATTATAATCGATTATTTTCAAAAAAAATTTACAAAAGAAAAATAATCCATTTTAATCGATTATAATGGATTATAATCTATTTATCCAAAGCTTTTTGTGTATTGTTTTCTTTTTTTCATAATTTAAGTTAGTTATTTTGTTCTCTCGCTTAATTTCATTTTTGCCTAATTTCAATGGAGTTATGAAAAACTTAAACTTGAGTTAGTTATTTTGTTCTCTCGCTTAATTTCATTTTTTTCCTATTTTCAATCGAGTTATGAAAAATTACAAAAAGTTACCTATAGATCCCACACCAACTCCCCCCATGCTTATCCGTACTACAGTTATATGTCCCCTAACTAGAGAGAAGGGGAGGGTACGTCGTGGTTGGTGGGTACGGGTCAAAAATGTTGTTTTTGGGCACTTTTTGGAAAATCTGAAAATTACTACAAATTGGCCGCCCCTGGATGAACGCGTTCGTTCGAGTTTTGCAGAAAGTTGCAAAAATGAGAGTCATTATTTAGAAAATTGAATCAATTTTCATGGATTTTATGTACAAAAAAAATCCATTATATTGAAAACAAAAATGGATTATAATGGATTTAAATTTTTCCAAAATAATCGATTATAATCGATTAAAAATCGATTACGTGGTCTAAATTTCACATGATAATCGATTATATAGACAACATTTTAGTCAACAAAAATCCACTATAATCGATTATTACGCATGAAACTTCGGTGCGGGTTTGTTGGTTTAAGGTCGCCGGTCGGCGCACAACGCGTGCGTCGCCGCTTCGTGGCGATAACCGGCTCTAATTTTCGCAAAGAATCCTGCCCTCTAATGGCAAGCTCGCAAAAAGTTGGCGCGACTTCAACGATCACTATTTTACCGTTGATTTGCTGTTTGAATAAAATTACGTCTATTTTGTATGTAGCAACGGAATGACGTAAGTAATCACATACAGTTTTTGCTAAAATGTACACTTTTTGAATCAAATTTTTGCCTAGTTTTAACACTTTTATTTTCGCCCAATATAGTTTTCGCCTAAAATAGCTGCCCCCCTTCATGACACCTAATACAGGGGTGGATTTAGGGGGGGGGGCAGGGAGGCGGAAAAACCCTCCCCCCCCCCCCTCAGGGATTCGACCCCCTGCCGACCCAAAGGGTCCCCCCTTTGATACTTTTTCAGAAATCCTTTTTTGGCCGACCGACCCTAAAGTTTTTCTAAGGGCGCCTTTGGCGCCAATATATACTAACTTTGAGGGGGAGCGCGCGCCAAAAAAAAACGCGATTTTTTTGTCAAAATTTTTCAAAAAGTGCCCAAAAACGGCTTTTTTGACTGTTTTTTCAAAAATTTGCCTGTGGCGCAGAAAATTTTGCCAAAGTACGGGCAAAACAGTGCTTTGGGAGAGCTCGAAAAATCAATTTGGTCGACCTAAAAAAAAGGTCGTCAAAGTTTTGGAAAATTTTTTGAAAATCCGCCCCCCCCTTCGAGAAAATCCTAGATCCGCCCCTGACCTAATATAGTTTGCGACGCCATCTTGGTTTAACTCACAGTCGTATTGAGGTCCTGTCCTGCCTAGATTCTGGTCCAATCTTCTCTGCAGCTCCTTTATCCTCACCATCATGCTGATGTGACCTTGAGAGTACTGCTCCATCACATCTCTTACGTCATACGGCTGTCTGCAATTCTAGAACACTCCACACTCATTCACGTTTAATTCACGTCAACTTTCGTTGTCATTAATTATCACAGTTGTTCACAGTTTTTCGATTTTTGCAATTAATGCAGTATCTCAAACATTAGCGGATTATTCTACAGGAGTTCGACCCGCTCAGGATTTCGACCCCCTGACCACCGGAAAGGTTCCCACTTTTGCTACTATTTTAGAACACCCTTCCTTGCTGACCGGTCCTTAAACTTTTCATCAGGAGCCTGGGGCGTCAATTTATACTAATTTGAGGTGGTAGCGCGCCGAAAATACGCATATTTGGTTAATGCCCTTCAAAAAATGTCTAAAATCGTTTTTTACCCTGTTTTTTTTTGCTACCCAGAAAATTTGGCTACACAATTAGGGTCATTATTGTCATTTTGGAGAGCTTGGAAGTTCAATATGGTTTACCGAGAAAATTTTTTTTTTGAAAATCCCCCCACGAGAATATCCTAGATCAGCCCCTAATCTCAACTTTCAAATACTGATCGGAGATGCAAAGATTTCTTCTATTATAAATGGCCTTCAAAAATCAAATAGTCTATCTTTAGATATGGAAAAATAAATTAGCGTTTGAAAGATGGCGTATAGCTTTTTTTGACAGAATGGCTGGTCTGCAGTGGGAAAAAACTTTGCACTGCTAGGCAATTTTGTTTTTTTTTTCGACCAAATTGATACTTTTTTGAACAGAATATTAAAAAGTAAGTGAAAAAAACAGCATAGTTAACCTATTTCACCATTCGAATTTTTCAATGCTGCTGTGAAAAAAAATCTGGCTTGATAAAGTCGAGAAATACCTGAAATTTGCGCTTGGCGACCAGAAACTGAAGAGTGCGCACCCAGCGAATAGCATTCTTGTGAGAGACTGTCAATCTAATTTCAGAAGAAAAAAGTTATAACAATTATAATTTAAAAAGTTTCTGTGCAAAAAGCTTCGACGATTAACTTACTTGGGTATTGTTAAAAGCTCCGAATCGCTTTCCATGTAATCTTTGTCGCTGAAATGACACAGTAAAATTGTGTAATTTTTCCATACAAATTAACAAACAACAACTTTTATTACAATTTTTTTTTTAAAGTTTTGTTTGTAATGTGATTCTATCACTATAGCTCTAGCTTTTTAAAAAAAAAACAAATCTTGTTCAAATGTTCTAATGGACTTGAGTTGCTTGCAAAAAGTTAGTGACCTTTCCTAGTCAATGTTTTTGTGAGTAAATGTACCTTTTCTTCATCACACACGCTTATGATCTGCATTCGGGAGTTTATTTAGGCTGATACCAGATTTCTTCTTTGGATTAGTTAGCTAGACTTAAATGCCTTACTGGTTTCCAGTAGCCTAAATGAGGATCTGGTAATCACAGATTCATAAAACAGAATTATAATTTTTGTGTTCAATTGATTAAAAGGATTTTTTTTTGCTTTTTCTTGATTTTTCTCAAATTAAATTTAAAAATTTTGAAATTTTTTTGACCGATGGTAAATGCATATATTTTTAAAAATCTCTAAATGACACAAGAACAAAACGGAATATATTACAGCTGTGAGGTTTTAGAAACGCTATTTCTTATTTCTTAAATTTTCTACTCTCAGAAATTCATACTCAAAATATAGAAAATATCTAAAATTATGATATTTATTTTACATACTGATTCAAATTAGGAAGACCAAACGAACAAAACCTGAAAATAAGTTTTTCCCAAAACGAATTCATATTCGCAAAAAGAAATAATGGCGAAAGTTGCTTAGAAATTTACCAAAACCAACAGGATGCAATTCGATTTGCGAGGTTTGAACACCAGTTTTTTTTCTAAAATTGGTTGTTTTTAGCTTGATTTTCAAAATGTATGATGAATATTTCATGATTTTTGTCATTTATTTAAAGTTCTATAAGGAGCCTCCTACTTAGCATAAAACAATTAATGGGAGAGTTTGTATAAAGTTTGTGCATTCGTTGTCCGATATTTTGTTTTTCAAATCTGTGAAAACTTGATTTTGATCGTATTTTCTTACAGAGTGACTTTCCTTTTTTTTCTATTGAGGAGAATTCATGTGAAGGCTAGTTAGATATTTTAGTTTTTGATATTTATTTTTTTTGAAACCGAGCATTCAAATTGGACATGCCGTTTGAAAGAATGTTTCAACACCAATATCAACGCTAGAAACTTTTCGATTGTTTGGATGTACAGTAATTTTGACGGAAAATTTTTTTACTTGAGTAAAAAAGTATATGGAATTCAAATATCTGTTCAGTGATTTTATTTACTTAGTTACAAGAAAATCACAAGAGCATCGAAAATTGTTCGTTAAATTCATCATTTTAGGACAAAAAAGCCACGATTTTTTTTCCAAAGCGTGAGTGACCTTAATATTGCGGCATACACTATCATTTTTTCTGTTTATGTGAACTCGTTTTTAACTCAGTTTGAAATTTTCAAGAACTATTCAGCCTATACGGATATTGCTGCAGTAAATTTTGATTAAGTTTTTCTGGACGACAAGTAATTGCTTGCAAGTTATTATAGAGGGTAGTTTTAGCTCTTTCGAAAACTTCACTCCCCTTTTATATGCCCGCTGAGCCATGACCAATTGACGGCTGATAATCGCGGAAAAACTACTCCGGATAAAAAGGCTTTCAGCTCGCTTACTTGTTCTTTTCAATCAAGAAACAATTATTTAAGTGAATCTTTGTCTTAAAATTGACTAATCGGATTTCCAGGTTTGAAACTTGTGGGACGTATATTTCCATGTTTGTCTACAATGAGCGTTGGCACCGATGGCTTTTTGACTCAGTTTTTGTCTCGATGATTTTTTGTTCAAATATCCTATTAAATAGCTTAAATTGCAACAAAGAAAAATCCCGCCTTCAGTTTTATAAGTTCATAATCGATTATATTATAATTTGTGTAGCCAGCTCTTCTAAAATTGGGAAAACATTTATTATAATCAAATCAAAATCACTTAAAAGTTTAAAAATAATCAGTTTTAAAAATTTATTACAACCGATTTTTTTCCAGTTGTTTTTCGATAGAGATGGAATCGGTTTTTTAAATGTTTTCATTTTTTTGTTGAAATTTAAGACTTTCCTGAGTCGTTTAAAAACTACCAAAATCTTTTTTATGAAAGCGGTCGACCTTGTGCCTCCCGGGCTTTTATGGTTTTCAGAATCACTGGCTAATATGAAATTTTAAAAAACAATTTTAGCAGTTTTCAAATTCAATACATTTTTTTGGATCAAGCTATATTCAAGATGCAGAACATTGAAGACAAAATTTTAATTTGACGACTAATTTGGCTCAATTACTTTTCGCCAACCGCTGACTGAAATATTTGTCCTATACTGCGGAAATTTTTCCACTAATTTGAAAGAATCTTCGTAAAAATATTTGTTAAATGGTAAAACAAATTGTGCAAATTGTGTTCAATTAAACCAAAAAGTGTCAAGCCATCTTAAATTTAGAAAAGTGTTTTCGAGAGCGTTTATATAATGCATTGTGCGATATCGTCTTGAATTGATACCCGTTATATATTATAATGTTTCATAAATAAATTTTAGAGGTTTTTGTACAAACTAAAAACAATTATAGTCTCCACAAAAATTTCGGGAATTGAACCAACTATACATGATTTAAAAACCTACTGATTGTTTTAAAAAAACAGTTACTATGGTCACATTGTCTTCATAGTAATCCATCATAGTCAGCCTAAGTTTAGATGCGAAGTTTTAATAAGCAACAAAATCTCAACTAGTGAGAAGTAAATATCGACAACAAAAACCACTACCAAAAAAAAGCACAGATTTAACGCACTTTAGCTAGGCTGATTGCCTAAAAAAACGCTTAGAACAGTTTTTGAAAAAAGATAAACATAAGTTACCGTCGTTCCACGTGCACTCAGTTTCAAGGAAACTTTTTCACATAAATTTTTTCATAGAAAAAAAAACTTGCAACGAAAATTTTTTCTGACTGAAGATGGACAACATCATATATTTCTGATAATCAGAAATCAAGTCAAATTGATATTCTGAAAAAAAATTTGACTATCACAAAAAGTAATTGATCTATTAGACTGTAGACTGTTTAAATGAAAATTGTAGCACACTGTAGATTCGAAAAACGCGGCTGTTTTCCCGAGTCGAGTTGCTCAATTTGTGTTCCCACTTTTTCGACTAAAAATTGGTGTTTGAGTGGACCGTATAGACCAAATTTTGTATTTTTTGACTTTATAGACCAAACTCTGGTATGCTTAGTTTTTCTCGACCTGTTTTTGGTATATTTGGACTTTGGTATATTTGTATATCGCGACCCAACAAAAAATTGTTTTTTTTTCGATACATTTCAGTTTCCACTTTCTCGACTGTCTCGACCGACATTTCAAAAAACTTGTTTGATTAATCCCCCATAGATAAGTTTCAATTTTCTCGACCAAAAATCGATATATTTTGACTTTCTTGTATTTCTCGACCAACAATTTTCAAAAATTTATTTTTTCGACCCCGCATAGATATGTTTCGAGTGTGATCGACCGATGTTTCGACTGTACTTGACCTGTTTCGACTGTGCTAGAACTATGTTTCGATCGTGCTCGATATATGTTTCGAGTTTCTTGGCCAAAATTGGGTATGTTGCCTCTGTGCTCGACCTATGTTTCGACACTCTTGACCGAAATCGGGTTTCTTTCGACTTTGTCTCGACTTAAAATTGCTTCTCAACCGCGGAGTTTTAGTAGCAAAACTGCGCTTGCTCGACTTTCAAAATTGAAGCATAAGTCGAGCTCCTCGGCGCAGTTAAAATTTCAAATTACTAGCAAAAATTTAACATTTTTTATATTGATTATTTTTGATCGGAAATTAAATTTCTTCTAGATAGTTTTTACCATGTACATACTCATTGTAGTAGTTGAAGTTCTCAAAGTCGTAAAACTGCCTGGGCGAGAGAGAGTCTTTCTTTTCAGCAGGACCCCCGCCACCACTGCCTCCACTGGGATTGGTCAAGTTGTTGCCGATATTACAGACAATTGCCAGGGTTTTCCCATTCGACACTGTAGTGTTCTGCTAAAAAACGAGAAATGTAATTGATTTTGGTACAATGATTTCATTTTGGAACTTCGAAAAAAACTGAAAAAAGAGAATCTTTTCTACAAACCAATCAGAAAAAGACTGAAGTGTACTAGTTGTGTAGTTCGGTTTTGGTTTTGATGCCAATTTTAACTGAAGTTAACCACGAACTTTCTATAGATTTTTTCTAATTGACACGCAAGAAAACTGTAGATTTTTAAATTTGGGATACTCGAATAATTTTTTTTTTGATTTCTAATTAGCATCTTAAATCATCCTTATTTTCTGTAAATTTTTGCCCCACATTGAAAGTTTGTCTACAGTTGAAAGTTTGATTTGATAGTTTGAGTTGACTGTTTCCTGATTTCAAAGCTTTTAAAACTGATCCGCATCAAAATTCCATGAATAATAATCTATTAATTTGTAATTTTGTGGTCATTCTCACTAAAATTTAATAGATAATTAATTATAATTGTTTAAAATGCATTTTATGTCACAATTTGAGCAAAAAAAATCATTTTTAACGATAAAAATCATATAAGGTTTCCATTTGATGTCAGTGCACAAATTGAGATAGGAGTAAAGAAGTCTTCTGCGAAATATCTCTGGATTAATGGATTATTACGAATTAAATATTTATGAATGGATTTTACGTATTTGATTATTATGGATTGCAAATCCATTTCAAGTTCTAAAAAATAAAATTCATTATATTGGAACTCTTTCTGGAATTGCAATCAATTATATTTGTGTATTCCCCATGAAACTCCAGTGCGAGTATCCTATCTTTTTTTTGCAAGTATCCTATGCGAGTATCCAGGGCGAGAATACTCTACTCCAGTGTGAGTATCCTATATTTTTTGTCTGAATTAATGCCTGATTGTTGGCTGCCTGATCTATGCTGATGACAGGCAGTTTGCTCTTGTGTGTGTTGCAGCTGGGGTAGCTACACGAGGGGTCTTGGCACTTGTAGATACTCTCTGGATCCCCTGTCTGTTCGGGGTTGCATCTAGAGATTGTGATACATGAAGATCCCTTCCGGTTGAACTCGGATACTGAAAAGATTTTTTTTGAAAATTTACAGAACTGTTTTTTGACAAATTTTCTTTAAAAAAGAAACTCTTTTTCACTCGACAGTTTACATAACACTACTTCCTTAAGAGCCGTTATGGTTGAAATTGCATGCTAAATTGGAAAATTATGTTAAGATTTTTTTGAAAAAAATTGCGGCTTTTTTTAAAATAATTTTTCATTAGACAATTTTACGACGAATTTTCTTCCCGAAGAGGACTTGCATAATTATGACTATTGAAGTTAATAATTATTTGTTAGTTACTTTTGAAAAAACGAATTGCTAAAGAGAATCATTTATTCATAAGAATTCATTCAAAAAGTTTTTATAAATTGAGTATCACACAATGCTTTGCACAGTGAAATATCAGTAAAAACCTTAGTGTTCGAACCAGATGCAAAAGATAATTAAGAAGCCTGTTTTTGGTCACAAAATGAATGCGGCAACTATTGTAAACGCGTTTTTTTTTTCAGGCGAAGTCAGGTTCCAGAAAAACTTAGACCAGCAAGTCAAAACTGATCGGCTGCTTCAAACAGCATTCAGAAATTTCGATATTGCTGCTGCATTGTCGCCACCAAACCTTGAAACAACTCTGACTTCATATTAGCATTTTCAAGTTGGTACTTTTATAAGAACCCTATCGAATGATCATTAAAAAAGAATTTGGGAAGATCACCGCATATATAAGAATACGAAATAAAATTTGAAGTTTTCAACTGAGACCTGCTATTCAAGAAGTTTGACATATTAGACTTGAAATGTTAGACGGAATAAAGCCAATTATTAATTTTCGAAGAAGTATTGTCAGCAGAGAGCGATTGTTTCTTCAGAATATGCCAAATTTCACGGCATTATTTTGAAAGGCTGCGTTTTCATTAAGAGTATAAAAAATCAATGGCATGCAAAAAGTATGACCGAAAATTGTTTAATGTTTCATTAAAGTTTTCAACCCTCTGTGAATTATGAAAAGCTATATTTCAAGTTTCGCGCAAGCAGTTCGAAAAAACTCGCGTGTTAGGTTTTTGTTCCTTTTATTTGAAAAAAACCTTTTATGCAATAAAATTTTGCATAAAAAAAAATTTTGGAAGATGTTTGTTTCTGCATAGAAATTATTTTGTGATTGAAAGAAAAAAAACTCAAAAAAATAATTTCTCAATTTGGAAAAATTCTTTGTCATTGAAAGGTGCTTTTTGATTTTCAGGAATGAGGTCATAGTTTTTAGGGTTTGAAATTTTGATAAGCAGTCAGACTGGCCAAATTATTTTTTTCCTTCGTTACAAATTGTTTTATGGAAAAACTTCAAGTTAACTCAAGTTTGTCTCGTTCACGCTTATTTAATTGTGATGGCATTATTGTTCTCATTCAACTGGACCAAATTTTAGCTGATTTTTAGTCAAAACAAAACTAGCTTCCAATCAAATTATAAACCCAAGTTACATGTCAAAATAATGAAAACTATAAATCCAATGAAAAATAAACTGAGCCCAATTTTTACACCAGTCAAGGTTAAAATAGATCTAATGGTTTCACGAATAAAAGCACAACATGTTTTTCTTATAAAAAGATTTGTACACAAAAAAGTAGTGGCCAAAAGAACTGCTTCTGAAAGTTTTGATCCCTAAAAATTTTGAAGTCATCATATAGGATTTAAAGAGTGTGCTTTTCGAAGGAATATTACTTAATAAAGATCTTGTTTTGGAAGACTTACTAGATGACATTGAGGCTCTGAGTTTGCTGGATCCACTCTCAATATTCCTTTTAAGAAAATCAATCGTGCTCTCCTTCTTAGACGTAGACGGACATCTGTTATGGCTTCCCCCATCGAACAGATTGCCCCGGACTGAATCGTCAGAATCTTTGAGACCTAAAAAAACAATTTATATGGAAGGAATTATTCCGAGTGGAATAGAATATTCCCAGGCCCAGCAATCTTTGCGATTTTTGACAAATCTTGAAGATTGTTTGTAGAATCTTGAAAAAAATTCTTCGAAAACTTGTCAAGATCGTGTCAAGAATCGTGAAGAACGGTAAAGATCTTTAAGAAAACTCCAAGAATCTTAAAGATAAACGAAAGATTGCAAAGAATCTTGGAGATTTTACAATTTTTTTTTCTTGAAATCAGGGTTGCGAGCGCTTTAAAAACAAGTTACAAAATATGTAAAATTTAATAAATCAAGATTTATGAGTTATAAAATGAATCATTGCGACCATGAACTAGCTAAAAATCATCAGTACAATACTCCAATTTTTTGCAAATCTTGCTAACGAAAATCTTGCTTGCGTTACGTTTTTCTCAAATTGGGTGAAAATTACACGAAAAGGGAAGAGTACAAAAGTTACTTAGAATTTCATCAGAAATAATATGGTGCAAATAATATGTCCTCCGAAATTCTCAACCAAAATTTTACCCCAAAATTTTACCCCAAAATTTTACCCCAAAAAAATCAATTAATCAAAAAGTGCGCTGAAACTAACTTGTTAATTGACGGGAAATATATATCACAAGCAACCTCTTTCACAGCCGAAAAAAGTTCTAGAAGGGCTAAATCTCCAAAAACTTGTAAAAATTTTTGCTTGATTGTCAAGAACGTAATTTATAGTAAATAAAACCCAAAATCTTTGCTTAAAAACAAATTTTAAACTAATTACTCAAACTTTTGGAAATTTAACCCATGTAGAACTTTGTTGGGCTGTGTAAGAGGCTTCTTGTGATAAATAATTGTCATCGATTAACAAGTAGTTTCAGCGTAATTTTTAATTAATTGAAAACAAAAACGAAAAAGATCCATTTTTGGGGTAAATTTTTGGTTGAGAATTTTGGAGAAAAAAATGCACCATTATAATTCTGGTGAAGCTCTAAGCAACTTTTGTTCTCTTCAATTTTTGTCTATTCTTAACTCAATTTGAGAAAAACGTGTTTGAAAACTCAAGTTTTAATCGTTTTGTCCGGATAATTTAAATCAGTACTGTATTTGTGCTCGGGATGGTTTTTTCAACTGATTTTCGTAAAATCATTAGAAAGCTATTGTTATCTTGAGCTCAGTTATTAACAGGCATTCCACCTATGATCACTTTTAGTGAACTTAAAGAGGTTTAAAGAATGCCAATTTGTCTCAGAAATCGTTCCAAATTGGATGAAGGCATGCTCTTTGGTCTATTTAACACTTGCTAGAAGCAAAATATATCGCCTTGAAATTTTTCAAAACAACTCAGAAATTTTTGAAATTGTTTCATTACGTTTTTGAAAATTTAATAACTTATTTTAAGTCAAACGATACTGTTGAAATTAAAATGCATTGAAAACATTTAAGGCTTTGAACTGATACGAGCAGTCTTGTCATTTTAAACAACCGATTTGCAGAACATGATAATAGCCAATTAGAACTTAGGTCATTCTACCATTAGAAAAATTTCCTTATGACCATATGACAGCTTTGCATCTTTAAAGCGTCGTTTTATTATATCACAAACAGGATCACAAGGTACAGATTTGTACAATACTATGATCCTAGAACATATTTATTATAATCTTACGTAACGTAACGTCTTATGACTCTTAAGGTCAACGCTACAATTAGATGATATGGCGCTAGCGTACAGCCAGTAGAAGGCCTTAGCGTAGTGAATTTAAATCGAACTAAATTAGTTAAAAGGATTTATCCACAAGAGAAAGGACAAACATAAAACTTTTTCAGCTCATCACGGAGGCCTTCTGTTGTGCCTCCGGTAAAAAACTACATGCTTTTTTCCTTAATGTTGTGAGCTCGGTGACAGTGCTTCGCGCTCAGGCAACGAGCAGGGGTCATGGTCGGCCTCGAGCTACCGACATTTTACCACTGTTCCCCCATTTTACCACTGTTCCCCCACGTAAACGTAGCCACTTCACCACTGTTCCCCCATTTTTTATAACTTAAGTTATATATTTAGGAAAGCCGCGTTGAATTGGCTACGTTTCCGCCTCTCAGTTCAAATGTCGTTAGCTCGAGGTCCACCATAATCTGTGCTCGTTGCCTGAGTGCAAAGCGCTATCACCAAATTTATAAAACTAAGGGGAAAAAAGCTTCTTACCCATTCCCACTCTTCCTTTGGTGAACACTTTCCAGGCGATGTCCAGTTCTACTTTGGGGTGGACGGAGTAGCATCGCCACGTGCACTGAAAAAAAAAATTCTGAAGGAAAAATAAGAAGCATTACGAGGTG